TCATGTAACTAACAACAAAGATAACCTAGTCAGTTAGCCAGGGCAACAAAGAGATTCAAATATTGGAATTAGTAAACCAGAGACGTATACAAAAGTGAAACTGTTTATATACGATTCTTTTAATTTCTTCGCACTGAACTTCGACCATCTAATGTGTTGAGTTTATTAAAGGAATAAAGAATATGTATTTATAAGTCAACCACGGAGTATATATACGTCTCTGGGCAAAGGTCAGCGAGGCAGTACATTTCCTTCCGAAGTTGTGATAAATATGTTCGATTTATAATCAAAATTAAATGTCAATATTTACGTCCATAATTTCACGGTATCTTTCTTTAATAAGATAAATCTCGGTAATTTATCGCCCGTTATGGCAGGGACGTATATATCTATATACTGTCCCTGGTTATGGCAACCTGTTGTTAAACCAGTTTATTAAAAAGTATTTTTTTACTAAACTGGTTTTCAGCAAATGGTATGAAAGCAAATCCTAGCAAATTTCAGCCCATATGTAAAGGGGAAAAACCTGTGACAACATTAAATCCTTTTCTATTGGAGACCAGGTAATTGATTGTAAAAATAGTGTTGCTCTGCTAGGTGTGGAGATTGACTCTTTATTGAAATTTGATGACAATGCATCTAAGATCTGTAGAAAGGCCTCCAAACAATTACAATTAGCTATTCTGAAAAGAATTGGAAATAGTCTTACCAAAAAGGGAAAGATCACCATTTTTAAATCTTTTATTTCATCTAATTTTAATTACTGCACCCTAGCCTGGCATTTTTGTAGCCTCAACAACACTCGAAAAATGGAATTGATACAGGAAAGAGCTCTGCGTTTTATTGAAAACGATTTTACCTCACCTGTGATAGATATTTTACGCAGAAACAACCTCACATTTTTAAACGTTGTTAGAATGAAGACTATGGCTACAGAAGTCTTTAAAATTTTAAATGGGTTAGCTCCAGAATTTTTAAATGATTTGATTGTTTAAAATAATGTTGAATATAATTTCAGGCAAGAGAACACCATTCAGGTACCAAGAGTTAACACAATTGTCAAGGTATGGAAAAGAGTCTTTTCGTTTTGAGGCTGCCCAAGTGTGGAACAGTTTGCCGAATGAACTGAGGAAAGTAGAAAATGTCCAGAGCTTTCGCAGACTGCTGCACACTTGGGACGGCCAGTTGGTGTTCCTGCGCCATATGTAACTAGCCTTGTTTGTTTGTTCCAACTTTTTTTTTATCATTTTTATACATAGTTTTTACCATGTCTTGTGATACCATGCTTCTATACTTTTACTTCCTTTCATTTTTTTTGCTTAGTGCTATTATTTACGCATTGTATGACTTACTGCTTGTAATATCATCTTTTTATCTTATGCTATAGTAGAATATATTTCGGTCATTTTATAACTCGTGCCATATTGGCATTTATGTATATACTGAACCATGGTTTCTTAGTTTGTGAGCATGTGGCACGAATCTTTTGTGCAGCATCAATTTTAATATAGATTTTTATACATACTTTGTTCTGTACATGCCAAGTTGTTTTTAATTACTGCATGCTGTGATTTAATAAAAAAAAATCTTGTCTGTGTATTGTATAAACCTTGCTATATGCCTGTTGTTTTCTGCATGTTGTCTTATATATCCTGTTTTTATACGTTTGTTTGTCGTAATAATAGCGCTACAGAGCTAATGTTTCCATTATAACATATACAACTTTAAATTAAAAAAAATCTTGTATCTTGTATCTTGCATCGGGGTCAAAGATTGCAAATACCGTTTAGTGTTTTGTGCTCATTGTTTTTTTTAAACGTCCCAATAAAATTCCTATTGTTTAAGTGCAAGCTCCGCTTAGAAACGTTTAAAATTTAAGTAATTCAAGATTACGGACTAATAAATTTACGTTTCATTTATTTAGTGATGAACCGAAAAAATGAATAATGAATTTAAGTGATATAACCGTTTCACATTGTATCACGGACGTATTCCGTGACTGTACATAGCGTTATCAAAAATTCACTTGCATGTCCCCACCTCTCCCGCACAGAAAAAACGATATGACCCATTAATATTAATATTGTAGTTGGTGATCTACCGTTCAGATAGAAGATCTAGCTGTAACCATGGAATTAGATCTTAGTCCGTGCTGTACGTCAAGGCAGAGTCGTAATTATATACGTATCTCTTCACTTGGGCATCCCAGACTTGGGAGCCGTCTTTTTATTCAAAATTATTTCTTGAAACGACGATTCTAAGAAAACTTATTATAGATGTATATAAAAATAAGTTGGTCTATGCTAATCATACAAAATATAATCATACGTCATGTTGTAGTTCTACAGAAAAAAAGGAGGACGAATAGATAAATCTATCTCATGCTTCATAATTTCATCTTTTTGAAATTCCCTCCCTTTCTGATAATGTCAAATCACGTACGTTCTCGTGTATTGTACCACATGACGAGAATTAGATAAACCTGCACAACTGAAGTAGCAACCTACATAACCTTCGAAGTAAATTGGTTTTAAGGATATTTATGGTGATCTATGGATATTATTACGAAACTAAACACTAGTTTGGATCTTCTTCTACAATGTTCAGGAGGAATTGATGGTAAAATTAGCGTAAATTTCTGTTAAACATACCCTCGGCAGTTACCACGGATTTGACAATCCGATTCACGAGGAGCCATGATGCTCTGAAGAGAAATAAACAGTAGGCTTGCCTACTCTCAGACATTTTAAAAAGGATTACATACTGTTTATATAAACTACAATCATGGCATCTAAAACGGCGGATCGGGTTGATCCTTTCACGAGCAAAGTGTCGATAAAAACTAAAAAACAAAAACGTTCACAGGGGTCGTCGCATTACAGGACCAAAAATACCCCTGAATTACAGGCATTGCCCCACTTAAAAGGTAAGTTATGCGAAAAAGTATACCTGATATGATGACTTTAAATGCCTTTCTAAAGTGTGATGTTAATGTAGTAATGAAATTTCATTTAAATTGTACCGAGGAGTCTCCATGCTATTGGATTACGCGATGGCAAGTGTGTTTATATTTGTTTACAGTGTTGTAGTTTTGTCTACAAACTAGGACACGGTCCATATCTTTGTACGGTGGCTAGGATATTATGTCTGGATACTGGATAGTAAAGAATACAAACAAATATCAAGAGCAAAATAAACAAGCAATTTCGCTTTATTTTGTATCCATAATCCAGCCAGACTTGTGCATGTCCCACTTTCCTCATGTCCGATTTCCCCGGTTAGAATGTGACAAAAAGGAAACCTCTGACAAAAGTTAGGCCCAATGCCGTTAATACTTTCTGATTCAAACTAGAATCAGATATTGATCAAATGAAATCACTGGTTAGGTTAAAATTTTGGTTAACACCCTAGGTTTATGATTACAGATATGTGTAATACTATTGAATAGAAAACGTGTCTATAATACTGGGCATCTCTGGCAGCCTCAATTATTTACACAGAAATGCCCTTAAAAAGTGGTTAATTTCCACTATTTTTAAATTTGAGTGAAATATATAGCTCCAAAAGATGCTCATCCCCCATTTATCAATGGTTTGTTCCACAATGTACCCCTAAACTCTTCTTCTATCATCTCTATAAGATATAACCTAATTCAGCTACCAACAATTTAAGCATAAGATAACAAATGTACCCCGCTCCTTGTCCACAAATCACAAAGCTTGGACATCAGAGTATAGTGTGGCAGCCCACAGGAATTTGTTTGGGATAGTTTGGCAGTCTGTACACAGAATTGTACCTGTACTTGTTAATTAAAATGTATTGTATTGGAAGAAATACTTATAATGAGCATATGCATGCACACATGGACCTGTATTTGTTAGCAATATTTGGACCTAATCAAGCTTATTTTTTGGTGTAGTTTTACCAATCTTAGTTGTTTTGGTCAACTCATTGTAAAAATGCCCCTCTCCCCAAATCAATGACAAGATCGGAAAGCTCTCAATGTTGAAAATCGCCCCCACCCAGCCAATTTGCTTAAAAACAAATTTTTAGTTGATGTACAAAAAATAATTTAATAGCACCATTGGTAAAATGAACAATTTTTCTGTTAGAATCCTCCTATATGCACGTAAATAGAGGTTCCCCAACGAGGAGTTAGTTAAACATGATAACCTACCATCACAAGTTTGGGGTCCTTTTTCTCCATAATGTCCATATTTTATCTGAAAAGCCATATGTTTCCCTTGAAAATACACTATGTCGGCTTCCGATTTGGAGAAACAATTGCTGTGAATCATGACGTCACAATGGAAGATTACATCACAAAGTATTGTTATATTATGTGACGTCATAAGTCAAAAATCGACCAATGAAATCACGTCCAGTGTGTTACCCACTAGTCTAGTGGGTAACCAAAAACGTTTACCAACTCTTAGCAGGTTTATCCAATGAATCCGGAGTGAGGAAACCAATAGTGTTTACATTTTCTCCTTCCACAGACATGATCACCTTTTCCTCCAAACACTTGCCATTTCCGAGCTTCCAAGTTTTTCTCTGTCAATTTCTAGAGCCACTGTATGTAAACAATGAAACATTTCATTGTGTGGTAATTTCTTCCCCAAAATAACCAGCCAATCACACCACATGTTTGGGCATGTGACTGATGTCAACCTCATGATATAGGAAGTGGCTCTAGATCTATGACTGAAAAACTCAGAAATGGCATGTGTTTTTAGTGGAAACAGAGATCATGACTGCGAAAAAAGAATACATTATATACGTGCGTATATGAGGTTTGTGTAGGAAAAATTATCAGTCTTTCAAATGGTACTAAGCATATTTTTGTACATCCTCGAAACTCCTGGGGTTACGCTCACTTTCGCTCCCTACACCCTTGGAATATGTCATGGCAAAATTGAAGGCACGAAGATAGCTGTTTGATTGGCCTTGGGTAAAAAAACCTGACCAATCGCTAGTCTGATACTTGTCTTTCAAGATTACAAAGGAGACGCCCGACTTCAAAGCCTGTCAATTTTTACCATTAGGTGACCACAAGATTCTTTTGATGTACATCAAAGGTTCAAACAAGAATTCTTGTCTCATGGACAAGGTGGCGCACACTGAGCCTTCAATTTTGCTGACATATTCCAGGGGTGCAGAGAGCGAAAGTGAGCGTCAACCTGGATATCAACGATCGAGGATGGTTTTTGTACAACAATTTGGACAGAATTGAGAAAAAAAATATAGCTGTGGTAAATTAATGTTTCCATCGATCTTAATTTTGTAATTCCTTTCGGTTTAAATGTATGTTCATGCAGTTGCAGTTTAATTGCAATTGCATGAATACATGTGAACTGAAAGTGTTTGTATTGCAATGAACCAGTGGAATCTGTTTCTATACCAAAATAAGCAATAAAATGCAAGATAATGAGGTAATTATCTAGACTGGATTATGCTATTGTAATGTTTTACTTTCTCTAACTGTTCTCATCTTACATATGATTTACCTACCAGTTCATTTTAAAATTGTGTTGCAATGTTGGCCATTATTTACAACTTGACCAGGGTTGTACTGAAGTGGGACGAGAATGCGACCGGATGTGTTCAGGGACTCGCTGGACACACAGAATGCAACCATACTTTCAACATTTTGTGGACCATACACTGAATATTTCAGCAAGAACTAAAATGTGAAATGGTATCAGAAGATTGGATCTAGACTCGGGAGTTTGATTAAGCCGTGAACTTAAGGATCCCTGTCCACTGCACTGCCGTTTTCCTATATATATGTACAGTAATTACCTCCCCTTAACTTCCGTTAGATATAACATTAGCACATTCTGGCTCATACACTTCTGATGTCCGTGTTTTTTGTAGCTCAGCCGGTTTTTGTGATGGTATAACAATCTGAAGTCCAGGGTTTTAATCTCTGTCTGGCCCCCCAGAATGTTTTACAATTACAACACGTTTGCTGTCAAGATTATATTTTGTTTAATTCATCTTCATTATATTTTCATAAAAGTATTGCAAGGTATAGTACTTTCCTTTTCAAAAATGATTTATCAAAGCTTCACAGTAGTCATGCGAGACAATATGTTTTGAATGCATGGTTTCCTGGTTTGGCAGTGGTACGGGGATCCTTAGCTGTTCGTACAGTGGACTCTTTCTAAACCAGACACCACTATATGATTTGACCAGTTTGTAGACAGTCTGCTTAAAACATCATTCTGGAAATAAATTGTCATATGCTATATTTTGCTCATGCATACACATTATTTGTACTATTGTTGATTTATCAACAACACAGCAATTATTTACCTGGGCGTGATTCAACTTTCAGTACCGATAAAAAAAGATGATTCTCCTAAGATAAATGATCATTTCATTCATCGTCAGTGTTCATTGATATGAGCAGACCAACTGACTTGTACAAACAACTAACATATCACTAGGACAAAGGTAAATTATCTTACATCATGTCTTATTATGTAATAAGTGCTCAGGTGTTAATCTAGTGTATCTACCTGGGTAAGGTAACAGTGACTTGTCAACCGTTAGCTTTCCTGTGTACAGCAATAAGGACTGTAAACACCTGCAATGGACCAGGATGGAATATGATGCGGGTTTACACATGATTTACCTCGTCCTGGTACCAGTGTATAAAAGACATACTGATAGATACTAGGAACAAGCTTGACATCTGTTTATAGAAAAGACAGAGTATGGATTAGCCATAGCCATAGAAGAATTTTCACGACCCCAAGAAATTTAGGCAGTTTAGACAAAAATCCTGATTTAGGTTTACCCAGAATGCATTGTACAACTGTGCGCTTATTTGTTTTCTGTCTGTAAATGTCACAAAATTTCATTTAAAATGAGAAAAAAAAAACTTTCAAAAATAATCAGTTGGTTGAAATAATTATATAACCTGCCTTAACCGTTTCCTTGATTATTATTTTCAACTGATTTGACATGACTACCTCATATATATTGTTTTAAAATCTTCATGACTTTTACCATTTGTATACAGTGAAATGACCTTTGATTTTCGATGAATATCAATCACAACAATAGTGATATTTGGTTAGTTTGCTTGCAACCTTACCATAAGCCAATGCATCTTAAAGGTCACAGATATGAGATGGGATTAATTATATATAAGGTATAAAAGCAAAAAAAATATCCTTACGGACGAAGAAATAATATAAAAAGAAAAAATCTCAACAATGAGTCTTAGTATTTTCACCTCTTCAAGGAGATTCTTCAGACTGTTATTTGAAGTTGATATTATGATGTCATAAACTATGACCTCACATAAAAGTTCGCTATATGCGTACCCGCCATAGAAATATCACAGCAGCAATAGAAATCATTAGGTTTTTCTATAGCTGTTGTGATATCGCTATGGCGGGGATTTTTTTANGTATATAGTGGCGTCGCTATAGCGAACTATTTTGTGACGTCATAATATATACTTCAAATAAACAGTCTGAAGAATCTCCTGGAAGAGATGAAATTACTAAAGACTCTTTGAGAATTTTTTTTTTTATATGTATACATTTATATATATATATTGACACCCCTGGATAACGGTTAAGCAAATACAGACACATTGGGCCTCTTGTTTAAGAACATGTTATGTTATGGTCCACTGAGACTTGTAAATTATTTTGGAAAACAAAAAGAGTAGAGGATATTATATGAAAGTTGGGATATATCCACAACACTGACATCTATACTGATTTGTGTATGTTTATGAGAGACTCAATGAATGATTCATGATGTACAACATACATGTGTATGTAAGTTATTTACCTTCAAGATGAATCAAATAAGTAATTACAGTAAAAACTTGTATCCTTATTTTGGATTTGTATATACATTTAAGTGTATCATCAAATTTTAACAGATTTAGGAATTGATGAATTGGTGTACCTATATATATACCTTGTATGCAATAGAAAATGAGGTAGATTCCAGCAGTGCAATCATAATTAAGCGCAATATTTAAAGAACAAAAAATAATATTGCCACAAAAATATGTTTACTGTATGTAAAGAAAGTAATCATTCCTTTGTTATTTATTTTTATTGACATGGTTTATCATGCATAGGCCTAGGCCTATCTGATATACACTGGTATTAAATGATGCATGTGAATATGTGTTATATGTGTGACATTTCATGGAACTTTCCTTAGTCAGTATGTATATACCCATCTTGACACAAAACTTGTGTAACACTAAGTTATTTTCTTGGTTGTCATGAATTACATTTAATCCAGGTTAGTATATTCATATTATGTATATAATTAGATTCAGTCTCTGAAGCCAACATTTACATTATTGCTGGCTTGCCCTTTTCGGTGTTCCCTTGCCATTTCCAGAACAACATTTTCCAGATATAGCTTAGCTTCCAAACATGTCCTTCCCGATAATCCTGATTGCCTGCAGCAGCAACTGTTCACATGACTCCAATAGGCGTTCATTATAGGTGTCATTATCTGTCGATTAGCCATTGGAAAGTCTAAGAAAACCTGCATGACATGTCTCATATCAGGCTGCTTCTTTGGTGGTAATAACTTGATAAGGTATCAAATATATATTATTGGTATGATGTGCATGATGTATCTGGGAGAATTTGTTGAAGTCTGATGCATATTACCCCTGGTAGCTATATCAAGCTATTTATAATATTGTGATCATGACTGGAGGGCTAAATTATTAGTTGAAGTTGTTTTGGAAAATGACCCAGACAGATTAAAAATTCAATGGAAAATTTCCTGGAATGATAATAAAATTTTAGATGTACAGAATATTGAACCATTGTGAAATGTTGGTTATTTTGCATAATAACTTTTTCATTAAACTGAGGGTACCGTAATTGTTAGGGTGGTTTGTTTTGGGGAGGGGATGAAAATTTCACATTGGAAAAAGACCTTAGAATCCTGACTGACACTTAGATCATAGAAATCATATATAGGATAGCTATATTGTATATCCACATGTTATCGATATGTGAATGCTGTATTAACTTGGTGATCTGTCTTACATATAATGTCTGTTGTCATAGGTAGCTCAGAATTTAAGATAGCTATTGCTATCTATTATGCTTGTAATTGTGTTTTGTTAATTATCTGAAAACATACCATCTTTTAAAAGTCATCATATGTCACTTTCCTATCCAACCTGTTCACAACCCTGTGTTACACTTTGGTTTGTTGTTGATTCAGATGCCAATACCAGCTCCGACCAGTCAGAACTCTTCATTAAGAAGTTGCAACAATGCTGTGTTGTTTTCGACTTCATGGATCCGGTGTCCGACCTGAAGAGCAAAGAGGTGAAGAGGGCCTGTCTTAATGAGTTGGTGGACTACATCACGGCTACACGAAATGTTCTGTCCGACCCTGTTTACCCGGAGATTGTGCGCATGGTAATTATATAAGAACTTGTTCAAACTGTTGTTGCAATGGCGAACCATCTGGTTGATTGTTACTTTCATTGGTTCATGGGAATTTCCCTTTAGTTCAGTCAGTAAAGGACTGGACTTGTAATCTGTAGTCTTGGGTTCAACTTCAGGCTTGGGGCACTTAAAAAGTGACCTCAGTCACATTGGGGCCAACCACAATGTGTTGTGTATGATAAGCTCCTTATTCTTGCTCTCACAAACACGGTTGTGCTCTTAAAGATTAAGGAACAAGATCTTTCCATGAGCAAAGAGCATGTCACTACCGTAGTGAAATATCTTGTGGCTTATTATTGCCTTTGCTAGAGTGGAATTTCCCTTAAACTCTAACCACCAGTATTTTGTATTTTCGGGTTTAACTCAAAACTCCCGGTAGAATTAAGGTCCTTAGAAAAAGGGACCTCTGTTGCATTACTATTGTACTGGCCCTAGGCCTGCAAGTCATCATGCATGACTCAATGACTTTTGAAGTTGTACACTGTACTAACTTCGTAGTCTGGTAGTGGTCAGGGTTTCAGGAAAGTTACTTTAATTATGTGCAGCATCAGTCAGACATGTGTACATATGCATCTTTCCTCTGTGACAATCTTTCCTCTTACGGAATATGTTGCAAAGACTGAAATGGATATTGAGATATTTATTTATTTGTTTAGGGTTTATCGTCCTCACAACAGCCAGGTTCATATGAGGACGGGAGCTCTTGAAAGAAAACGATGGTAAAGAAATGTAACAGTTCAGGGATTGAATGTCTTTGACCGATTTTTAGTAATAATTACCGATGCTGACCTTTTCAGTGGAAGTTTCTGCATTTCAAATCTTTGTCTATGTACAGAAGCATTTCTGCGTGGGATATATACAATGTATTATTGCAATTAGCTGTTTATTATGTAAAGAAGTACCAGAAATACAGTCTAAAAATGTATGTACTTGTATACTGTTTCCATAGGCTGCATTTCTACACTGGCTTGAGGGATGCAACTCATTTAAAGGGTGAAATAATATCCAGTCTTAATTTGAATGATGGCAGAATGCACACACCACTATCCACAGTACTTGGAGTTATCTAAATAAAATAAACAGCAATTGATGACTCATCATTTTGTTTGTTGATGCAAGATTCACTGTTCATTTGAAAACTGAAGTCTGATTGTCAGATTGTAACTGTGATGGAAAAGAAGCACACGGATGCTTATCTTTAGAAGTGTTTAGGTTATTGGTCTGGTTTATGCCTTGGTCCTGTTGTGTCTTCGCTGCCTTTTTAATAATTGGTAATTTGCCTCTTGTTATTAACATACTTTTTTCCTACAGTGCATTTAATATGCAAATCATAATGAAAGATCAATATTGGATTTTGTGGCAATAGGTCTTTTTATAGAATTACAGGAAATGGAACTTGCGTCAGAGCGAATTTAGGATAATACACTGTTTTAGTGCAAGCAGTTTAATAAGTTCTATACATATTTAGGTGCATTTGTCATTGTATCTTAACTCGATATTTAAATATCAAGATGTTAAAACCCATTCCTTGGAAGATGCTATTTCAAAAAGAAACAATTTGTGGAAAGAATTAATTTTGAAAGGCCATCAACAATGACATTTTGCATGACTACATTTTGACAAAGTTTACACTTGTGTAGTTCCCTGAACTGATTTTCGTCTTTGGGCATGGTTATAGCCATGTGTTTGTCTACGTGTGGGGTTGTTTACCTGTTGCACTTCAATTCAGCTTTTCTGTCTGCACACGGTTATCTCTGATTTCCAAATATGTGTGGCACGGTTTCTTGTATGAGCTTAAAATGACGCTGTACCACATCAACTAACACTCTACTATAAATATTTACTAGTTGGAATAGAAAATATTAAAAGTAACAAGTTAAAAGTCTGAGTTGGGCAGACAATCCAACCTTAGGAAACTGAATTGACGTTTGCTCTCAACAACTTTTTGAGAGAGAAAAAAATCTCATACATTTAAAGTACATAAAAAGAATTTAGGTATGGCCAGCTGACATTGTGAAAATGTCCAAAGAGCCTGCACCATACGCTGTTACTACATTTGTAGGTAGCTGGTTACCATGTATTGTGTGAAGGTGTTTATTTAAATGTTCGTGTCCTTATACACATCATATATACAGTATGATACAACAGTTTCAGAACACACCTAGATATATGTTGATGTGCCGACATCATCCACTTTGCACACCTGTGATGACATTGGTAAAAACATGACCTCATTATTGCTGTAAACAAGTCGACCAGGCAGTCTAAATCCACAGTGTATATCTAAGAGACCTGATGCTATGTATATAGTAGAGTATTAAATATATCATTCCCTCTAACTTTAACTGATTTCTTTTACATATCTATTCTATTTTATTCTGGATGATCTATACATTTGATTATTCAAAATCATCTGTCAAGCATGTTTGATAATAGTTATTTGGTATTTAACTTCAAATTGCTTCAGATATAGATATTTATATATTTATATAAAGGATATTATTTATCACATTTCACATACCTTCATGGTAATATCCTGAATTCTTTTAAGTGTTAAGCAGAGCTGTCAAAATTAACATTGATTTCTTACAACTAAATTGGTACATACATGTCTTGTGTAGTAAAAGATTATGTCATTCTTCACTGGAATTCAGCAGGAAGGTTTACTGTTGATGAATTAGGTTTAAAACTTTGTATTGAAACATTTCTGTGTAATAATAAAACTAGCTTATTGCATCACATATATCGATCAACAGTACAGGACTTATACTAAGTGTGTGCCTTAGTTCACTTGGTTTTAGTGCAAACAATAAAACAAACAGGCTACATAATTGAAATATATTTTCCCACATATTTGGAAGTTGTAGGTTTCCAATTACAAGGTTATTTTTTTTTTAATTCATACTATGATGCATTAAAGTATTGTTTTCAAGGATATGATGAGAACTTGGTTTTAAATACAGGTATATGTAGTAGACTTGTAAAATAGGCACATTTTCCCACCTCAGATGGTATAGTTCTATGTTATCATCCGATATGAACTGATACATTTACATTCTCTCTATATAAAATTTCTTATCAAGATATTTATTTTATTTCATTTGTTTTGTCATTATTGACCATTAAGGAACTTCTCAAGAAACTTTAAACTGTTACTAGAATGTTATTAAATAAGAATAATTTACTGTAGAGACAAAAATTTCCATGCATCAAAATTTTTGCGTTGTGACTCCTTAACTCATTCACCCCTGAAGACACATATGAACTTCCAATTCAAAGGTTGGAATAGTTCACTATGATATTTCGGGGGTGAATGAGTTAAAATGTTGGCAGAGTAAACAATTTCATGCAGGCGATGGTTCTGAAGTCTATATATATCTATAATCTAATAATAAATATTCTCTTTTGGATGTTTTGCACTACTTTACTAATCTCAAAAAAACAGGAATATTTCCACTTTTACAATTATATAAAGTTGTAGAGCAAGTTGTATATATATACAATGTATATGTTGTTCTTCCAACAATTATTAATACCCATACCCAGCATTGTTTTAAGTTTGATAAAAACAAAATCAGCCTTGTTGTACTGTCATAGTATAGATTGATTTAATATTGAAACATTTGTTTTATTATTATGTTGTTAACATTACAAGTTATCTTAAGATATTTTATATTTTTAGTCATAAATAAACATCAGATGATAGCCAGATTTCTTTTTACTGCAAAATATACATGATAGTTCAGTATGTCATCATAAAGGGGAAAGGATTTTATTTGTGTAGCCAAACATAAAACTACTCATAAAAACTACACAGTAGAATTATCTCCATGCACCAGTGGTGTTACTTTAAGTATGCATTACCTATTCATATATTGAGCTTTTTCCAGGAGCAAATTAGTGATAAGTTGAAGTTGGTGTGAAGATGGATTGACAGAATAAAGGCCGAAATATTGATTAGTGGTTGGCTGGATCACACCATCATCAGTAAGCTGTAATTGGAAATGTGGAGTTGTAGTATAGAGAGATGATTGTGAGGGTTAAGAGAAGTCGGGGGAGACCTGGTCACACAGCCAGTATATAGTATTGGGACCCAGTGCTGCTCAGGTTAGAGGCGGGGTTAGACATATATCTATTGGTATAGTGTCTGTTGGATTGCAGGTGGTAGTGACAAATTATTTTACAAACTGGCCCAGCTCTGCAGGTCTACTCTATCCATTTGTCCAGTGAAGTTTTTTTTTTTTGGAGATAAGACTAGCTATTAATATTCTCCCAATCACCCCAAGAAAACACAAATAGATCATAAAAACTACATGGAAATATACATTGTATATTCTCTATCTACGACTAGTAAATATATACATGTATGTTCAATTGTATACAAGGAAAATATGTTTTAACATGTTTAGTTTTCTTGTAGAAATGTAACAAAAAAGGAAAAAAATAACTGAAATTTTACTGAAGTGACTTGGTTGGAGTAGTCAAATAAGATTTAGTTTTACTGTTGTTTAATACCAGTCCAGGAGAAAATCAGGATTACATGTACCTAGAGTAATTAAGTTTTTTCTGGACTTGCATAGAGAGAAGTTTTACATTAGGTACATATGTAGGAAGTAATTGACAAACTGGGATAAGATATGTATATATTTGAGTTAATTGCCGGAAGTGTATGTGTGTCACCTGTTGTATAGGTATAACGATATGAAGTTAGATGGAGTGGTATTACGTATGGGGCTAGTGACAGAGTGGAGGTTGTACAGGAAATCTTTTTTGCCTCTCACCAGCACCATCCCTGCAAACCTTCCACAATTTTAGTATTGATGTAGAAAGCTTCATAAATATCCCTGTTGTTCTAAATATAGTCTAGTCGAAACTGCAGTTGTGACTATTTATAGAGCACCTGGTTCACAGATTGCCCAGCCTAGCCTGGTGTTGGTGTGTGGTGGGGAATACTGTATGTACTGGACCACAGGATGGGGCTGTTGGGAAATACTTAAATACATTCTGTTGGTCTAGGTCCTGTAAGGCAATTCTCCCACACATTCAGGTCAGACTGTAGGTCCATGTAAGACAATATACTGGTAAAAGCAATACTCATATACATTAGGCAGGCCAGGCCTCTAAAGCAAAACTCATATATATTAGGCAGGCCAGGCGCCTCTAAAGCAATACTCACATACATTAGGCAGGCAAGGCCCCTCTAAAGCAATCCTCATAAACATTACGCAGGCGAGGCCCCTCTTAAGCAATACTCATAAATATTAGGCAGGCGAGGCGCCTCTAAAGCAATACCTGTATATATCAGGCAGGCAAGGCCCCTCTAAAGCAAAACTCATATATATTAGGCAGGCCAGGCGCCTCTAAAGCAATACTTATAAACATTAGGCAGTCCAGGCCCCTCTAAAGCAATCCTCATATACATTAGGTGGTAAAAGCAATACTCATATCCATTAGGCAGGCCAGGCGCCTCTAAAGCAATACTCATAAACATTAGGCAGGCGAGGCCTCTAAAGCAATATTCATATACATTAGGCAGGCCAGGCCAGGCCCCTCTAAAGCAATACTCATATACATTAAGCAGGCCAGGCCCCTCTAAAGCAATACCTATATATATCAGGCAGGCAAGGCCCCTCTAAAGCAATACTCATAAACATTAGGCAGGCTAGGCCTCTAAAGCAATACCTATATATATCAGGCAGGCCAGGCCTCCAAAGCAATACTCATAAACATTAGGCAGTCGAGGCCCCTCTAAAGCAATACTTAAATACATTAGGCAAGCGAGGCCCCTCTAAAGCTCGTATACATCAGGCAGGCGAGGCCCCTCTAAAGCAACACCTATATATATCAGGCAGGCCAGGCCTCCAAAGCAATACTCATAAACATTAGGCAGACGAGGCCCCTCTAAAGCAATACTTACATACATAAGGCAAGCGAGGCCCCTCTAAAGCTCGTATACATCAGGCAGGCGAGGCCCCTCTAAAGCAACACCTATATATATCAGGCAGGCCAGGCCTCTAAAGCAATATTCATATACATTAGGCAGGCCAGGCCAGGCCCCTCTAAAGCAATACTCATATACATTAGGCATGCAATGCCCCTCTAAAGCAATACTCATATACATCAGGCAGGCCAGGCCCCTCTAAAGCAAAACTCATATATATTAGGCAGGCCAGGCCTCTAAAACAATACTCATATACATTAGGCAGTCAAGGCCCCTCTAAAGCAATACTTATATACATTAGGCAGACGAGGCCCCTCTAAAGCAATACTTAAATACATTAGGCAAGCGAGGCCCCTCTAAAGCTCGTATACATCAGGCAGGCGAGGCCCCTCTAAAGCAAAACTCATATATATTAGGCAGGCCAGGCCTCTAAAGCAATCCTCATATACATTAGGCAGGCCAGGCCAGGCCCCCCTAAAGCAATACTCATGTACATTAGGCAGGCCAGGCCCCTCTAAAGCAATACCTATATATATCAGGCAGGCCAGGCCTCCAAAGCAATACTCATAAACATTAGGCAGTCGAGGCCCCTCTAAAGCAATACTTGTATACATTAGGCAGGCAAGGCCCCTCTCAAGCAATACTCATATACATTAGGCATGCAATGCCCCTCTAAAGCAATACTCATATACATTAGGCAGGCCAGGCCTCTAAAGCAATACTCATATACATTAGGCAGTCAAGGCCCCTCTAAAGCAATACTTATATACATTAGGCAGTCGAGGCCCCTCTAAAGCAATACTCATATACATTAGGCAGGCAAGGCCCCTCTAAAGCAATACTTATATACATCTGGCAGACGAGGCCCCTCTAAAGCAATACTTACATACATTAGGCAAGAGAGGCCCCTCTAAAGCTCGTATACATCAGGCAGGCGAGGCCCCTCTAAAGCAATACTTATATACATCAGGCAGACGAGGCCCCTCTAAAGCAATACTTACATACATTAGGCAAGCGAGGCCCCTCTAAAGCTCGTATACATCAGGCAGGCGAGGCCCCTCTAAAGCAATACTCATATACATTAGGCAGGCGAGGCCCCTCTTAAGCAATACTCATATACATCAGGCAGACGAGGCCCCTCTAAAGCAAACTTATATACATCAGGCAGGCAAGGCCCCTCTAAAGCAATACTTATATACATTAGGCAGGCGAAGCCACTCTTAAGCAATACTCATATACATTAGGCAGGCGAGGCCACTCTTAAGCAATACTCATATACATTAGGCAGGCGAGGCCCCTCTAAAGCAATACTCCCCTGCGTTCAGGGCCATCTCCCCAACCTATAAGGCAAACTTTAGGTGCATTCAAGGCATGCTATAGGCCCCTTTCAAGCAATACTTTCATACACTCGGAACAGGCCAAGCCCATGTAAAGTGTCATGTACAGGGAAGGCCCATGTAACGGAGTGTTCAGGACGGGCTACGTGTCTTAAGGTCATTTTAATCAAGGTTTATAATTAATAATGGGTGTGGCATATGATTGCATAAAAAAATGTCTCCATCAGAAATGAAGAATATGAGTGTAGTTGTCATTGGACGGGGATTGGGCGGCTGTTGTCCATCACTTCTTTGACATTGATTGATTGATGGGTTTTATGTCCACTTCCCTATCGAGTAGTTCAGTTATCCAGCAGATGATCTTCTTTGAATGACAGGTAACTGTTTTACAGTAGTTTACTTGAGGTGAGTTTCTTTGCAACAGCTAAGATCACCTGACAACCAGTGTCCACACTTTAGCTAAGATCACCTGACAACCAGTGTCCACATGTCAGCTAAGATCACCTGAAAACCATTGTCCACACGTCAGCTAAGATCACCTGACAACCAGTGTCCACACGTTGGCTAAGATCACCTGACAACCAGTGTCCACACGTCAGCTAAGATCACCTGACAACCAGTGTCCACACGTCAGCGAAGATCAACTGACAATGGTGTCCACACATTGCTAAGGTCATATGATAATGGTGTCCACACATTGCTAAGGTCATATGACAACCAGTGCCCACACATCGCTAATGTCTAGGTCACACTTCAGCTAAGGTCATATGACAATGGTGTTCACTCATCGCTAAGGTCATATGACAATGGTGTCCACACATCGCTAATGTCTAGGTCACACTTCAGCTAAGGTCACACGACAATGGTGTCTATATGACAGCTAATTAAGGTGATATGATGAGTATTGTGACTAACTACATGGAAGCCTGATACCTCATGCATTACACTATTTTGACAACAGGTTCATCAGACATACACACTTCTTAGGGAACTCCAACAAAATACAAGAGTAGATAGATGGATGTACTAATTTTTAGCTCACCTGGCCCGAAGGGCCATGTGAGCTTATCCCATGGTGCAGCATCTGTCGTCCGGCGTCCAGCGTCCGGCGTCCGGCGTCCGTCAACTTTTTCCTTTCAAATGCTACTTGTCCTGAATGGCTCAGAGGATTTTGACCAAATTTGGTCAGGAGCATCATTGGCCAAAGGGTTCTCAGTTTTGTATAAACGGAGGGTATAACGCCCCTGGGGGCAGAGGGGCGGGGCCAAATAGGGGGAAAATAGGTAAATCTTTAAAAATCTTCTTCTTCTCAACCAATAGAAGAATTTTGACCAAATTTGTCCTAGAGCATCTTTGGACAAAGGAGACTCAAGTTTGTATAAACGGAGGGTGTGGCCTCTTTGGGGGCAGAGGGGCGGGGCCAAATAGGGGAAGTAGAGGATTTTTTCTCTCCTACTATACAAGTGAAGGGATTTAAACCAAATGCAGTCTGAAGCTTGGTCAGGAGCATCATTGGCCAAAGGGTTCTCAGTTTTGTATAAACGGAGGGTATGGTCCCCCTGGGGGCAGAGGGACGGGGCCAAATAGGGGAAAATAGGTAAATCTTTAAAAATCTTCTCCTCAACCAATTGAAGGATTTTGACCAAATTTGTCCTAGAGCATCTTTGGACAAAGGAGACTCAAGTTTGTATAAACGGAGGGTGTGGGCCTTCTGGCGGCATAGGAGCGGGGCCCAATAGGGGAAATAGAGGATTTTTTTTCTCCTACTATACAAGTGAAGGGATTTAAACCAAATGCAGTCTGAAGCATGCTTAGGGAGAAAAGAATCAATTTTGTTTAAACTGAGGTGTGTGGATTCCCCTTCTTTGGGGCAGATTAGTGGGGCCCATTAGGGGAAATAGAGGAAAACATTAAAGATCCTTCTCCTTCTGTACCGTTGAAGGGATTTTAACCTAACCAAACTTGTTTTAGAGAATCTTTGGGCAAAGGGAATTGAATATTTATAAATGGAAGATGCAACTTTGTTACTTGTACTCCTTTGATAAACCTGAATGGTACTCAGCAGGTTTTAAATTGAAAAATAAAATACCAGGTGAGCTATTAAGGCCCCTGGGCCTCTTGTTTGAATTAGGGGATGGGGGCAATAGTGGTGGTGGTGGTGGTGGTGGGGCAGCAGATCAATCTTTGGTGTCTCAAAGACACAGGAAACACTGATACTGCAGAAGGACCCCCAAAAGTCTGTCATATGATGATGCATTTGGATACAGCAAGCCTTTTCTTGCAAATCCTGCAGGGTACTGTATTAATCGTTAATTGATGGGTATGTTAAGGTTAATATATTTACTGTATAGAAGATATATCTATGTTTTCAGATTGCCTGTAATATATTTCGGACATTACCTCCAAATGACAATCCTGACTTCGACCCAGAGGAAGATGACCCGACACTGGAGGCTTCTTGGCCGCACTTACAGGTAAATATCAATGACAGGGTAAATATCAACTACAGGTAAATATCAATGACAGGTAAATATCAACTACAGGTAAAATTCAACTACGGGTAAATAATATCAACTACAGGTAAATATCAATGACAGGGTAAATATCAATGACAGGTAAATATCAACTACAGGTAAATATCAACTTCATATAAATATCAATGACAGGGTAAATAGTAACTACAGGTAAATATCAATGACAGGTTAAATATAAATGACAGGTAAATAGCAACTACAGGTAAATATCAATGACATGGTAAATATCAACTACAGGTAAATATCAACTTCATAAAAATATAAATGACAGGGTAAATAGTAACTACAGGTAAATATCAATGACAGGGTAAATATCAATGACAGGTAAATAGCAATGACAGGTAAATAGCAACTACAGGTAAATATCAATGACAGGTAAATATCAATGACAGGGTAAATAGCAACTACAAGTTAATATCAATGACAGGTAAATATCAACGACAGGTAAATATCAATGACAGGGTAAATATCAATGACAGGAATACAGGAAAATATCAACTACAGGTCAATATCAATGACAGGGTAAATATCAACTACAGGTAAATATCAATGACAGGGTAAATAGCAACTACAAGTTAATATCAATGACAGGTAAATATCAACGACAGGATAAATATCAATGACAGGTAAATATCAACTTCAGGTAAATATCAATGACGGGGTAATAATCAACTACAGGTAAATATCAATGACAGGAACATATCAACTTCAGGTAAATATCAATGACAGGTAAATATCAACGACAGGGTAAATATCAATGACAGGTAAATATCAACTTCAGGTAAATATCAATGACGGGGTAATAATCAACTACAGGTAAATATCAATGACAGGAACATATCAACTACAGGTAAATATCAATGACAGGTCTGATGGTTGATACCAGACACACCAGCATCCATTTGTTTGAAGTGGATGAGTTTATATATGAAAATTTAAAAATAATACATACTTTTCTGTCTTTGGACAATCTCTTTGAAACTCTATTCTTAAAATACTTGAAAGTTACGTAATTAATTCACATTTGACCAATGAGGTCCTTACTATTGCTCATTACCACCCCCCCACTAACGTAATACTTGTAAGTTACGTAATTAATTAACATTTGACCAATGAGGTCCTTACTATTGCTCATTACCACCCCCCACTAACGTAATACTTGTAAGTTATGTAATTAATTCACATTTGACCAATGAGGTCCTTACTATTGCTTATTACCACCCTCCACTAACATAATACTTGTAAGTTATAGAATTAATTAACATTTGACCAATGAGGTCCTTACTATTGCTCATTACCACCCCCCCACTAACGTAATACTTGTAAGTTACGTAATTAATTAACATTTGACCAATGAGGTCCTAACTATTGCTCATTACCACCCTCCACTAACGTAATACTTGTAAGTTATGTAATTAATTAACATTTGACCAATGAGGTCCTAACTATTGCTCATTACCACCCTCCACTAACGTAATACTTGTAAGTTATGTAATTAATTAACATTTGACCAATGAGGTCCTTACAATTGATCATTACCACCCCCCACTAACGTAATACTTGTAAGTTACGTAATTAATTAACACTTGACCAATTAGGTCCTTACTATTGCTCATTTCCCCCCCCCACTAACATAATACTTGTAAATTACGTAACTTATTAACATTTGACCAATGAGGTCCTTACAATTGATCATTACCCCCCCCCACTAACGTAATACTTGTAAGTTACGTAATTAATTACCATTTGACAATTGAGGTCCTTATTATTGCTCATTACCACCCTCCACTAACGTAATACTTGTAAGTTATGTAATTAATTAACATTTGACCAATGAGCTCCTTACCACCGCTCATTACCACCTCCCACTAACGTAATACTTGTAAGTTACATAATTAATTCACATTTGACCATTGAGGTCCTTACTATTGCTCATTACCACCCCCTACTAACGTAATACTTGTAAGTTACGTAATTAATTAACACTTGACCAATGAGGTCCTTACTATTGCTCATTTCCACCCCCCACTAACATAATACTTGTAAATTACGTAACTTATTAACATTTGACCAATGAGGTCCTTACTATTGCTCATTACCACTGCCCACTAACGTAATACTTGTAAGTTACATAATTAATTCACATTTGACCATTGAGGTCCTTACTATTGCTCATTACCACCCCCTACTAACGTAATACTTGTAAGTTACGTAATTAATTAACATTTGACCAATGAGGTCCTCACTATTGCTCATTACCACCGCCCACTAACGTAATACTTGTAAGTTATGTAATTAATTAACACTTGACCAATGAGGTCCTTACTATTGCTCATTACCACTGCCCACTAACGTAATACTTGTAAGTTACGTAATTAATTAACATTTGACCAATGAGGTCCTTATTATTGCTCATTACCACCGCCCACTAACGTAATACTTGTAAGTTACATAATTAATTAACATTTAACCAATGAGCTCATTACCACCGCCCACTAATGTAATACTTGTAAGTTTCATAATCAATTAACATTTAACCAATGAGGTCCTTACTATTGCTCATTACCACCGCCCACTAACGTAATACTTGTAAGTTACATAATTAATTAACACTTGACCAATGAGGTCCTTACTTATTGCTCATTACCACCCCCCACAAACGTTATACTTGTAAGTTACATAATTAACATTTGACCAATGAGGTCCTTACTATTGCTCATTACCACCACCCCACTAACATAATACTTGTAAGTTACATAATTAATTAACATTTGACCAATGAGGTCCTTATTATTGCTCATTACCACTGCCCACTAACATAATACTTGTAAGTTACATAATTAATTAACACTTGACCAATGAGGTCCTTACTTATTACTCATTACCACCCCCCACAAACGTAATACTTGTAAGTTACATAATTAATTAACATTTGACCAATGAGGTCCTTACTATTGCTCATTACCACCACCCCACTAACGTTATACTTGTAAGTTACATAATTAATTAACACTTGACCAATGAGGTCCTTACTTATTACTCATTACCACCCCCCACAAACGTAATACTTGTAAGTTACATAATTAATTAACATTTGACCAATGAGCTCCTTACTATTGCTCATTACCACCCCAAACTAACGTAATACTTTTGGATACAAACATGTTTTGCCTCAGAACATATCCATATTTGTTTTGTATGTTTTCTGTATGTTAATGTTTTCACTCGCATGTCTCATACAGCTTAGACAAACATAGTAAAGTGGATTTTAAACACAAGAGCGGTACGTCCTGTTCTTAATTAAGCTGTCAGTAAGTTGGAAATCTATTTTGACTCTTGTTTAACTTCACCTTTCCTTTTCTATTTCAGATTGTGTATGAATTCTTTCTGAGGTTTCTAGAATCTCCCGACTTTCAGCCAAGTTTAGCCAAGAAATATATAGACCAAAGATTTGTGCTGCAGGTATATGTCTATCTGATCTTCATTGTTTTCTGGAATTATATGTAACTTAACTTATTGTATGAATTGATTTAGACCGAGTCTTGTCGATAATGGCCAAGTATCATTAGGATAATATGTTGGGTTTATCTCTGATGAAAATTAGGGGCTGGAACGGGTAACTGAGTACTCAGTAACGGTTTGGTTACAAGTACTATCCGGTTAGCAAATCCATGTACCCGAAAACCTTCCCAAAATGTAGGTCAGTATTTATCAACTTCCCGGGTAGAAATGTCGCTCCTGATGGCTGATTGACAGACCTCGAAAACACTCGTGATCAGTATTCTTGCTTTCTATTGAGTGCATGTAAACATAATATCGACTGACATTCTGTTGAATAATGTAACTCGCCCGACCGAAAGTGATGCATAGAAATACGCGCGCATAGTGTTGACACATAAGAGTGAAGTGAGACTGCCAAAATTTCCCTGTCCGGGGCTAGCAATATGTTACCAATTCATATTGATTTTGAGAATATGCAACCTTTTACAACTGTATTCACGAGACATAAGTATTGAGTTATCTATGTTTATGCATTAATGAATTAATGAATTAAGTTATCATATTTTTATCAAAAAAAAAGAGACATTGGTGGCCGTATTTCATTGTCACAAGAAAACACAGCTACCCAGTTTCGGTTGGATAAGCACACATTATCATCTGAGTGGCATCTTTTGTAACCGTTGCAGCCCTAATGAAAATAAAAAGATCCATTTCAGAAACATTTTTCACCCACCTCTTTGTATGTAAGATACATGCGTTTCCCACACAGAACATTCATGTGAGATATGTGAATTCATTTACATATTGTTTCACTATAAAGATTGGGTTGTTGGTAATTATAACCCCACGTCATGAGAATTATTGCACAAGCTTGACCATTGTGTTAGAAACGTTGCTATATATAATATTGACTTGGCATTCTTTTTTGTCATTATTTACCCAATTCAGTAAATTGTTGGAGAAAAAGTGTCTATCATTATGTAGGTACTTGTATATATTGGAAATGAAGACTGCACTAGGGTGTAGAAGTTGGTATCAGAACCTCAGAAAAGCATTGATAAGATTGTGACTAAAATTCTACAACCTTACTTAGAACATCAAAATCCCAAATACCTACATATGATATAAATTCTTATAATCTTACATGAGTGTCTCACATAGGACTCCTGTTTCTCTTACCGTGGAGAGTTGTATCATACCATTCCCGGTACAAGATAAAATGAATTTTCCACCTCCTTAAGATGTAATGGGAAATCCCAACCCTTGGGGAAAGATTTCCTATCTCACCCCAGAGGGGGTGAAAGATGCTATTAATCTTACATATATGAAGATTAAGGGAAAAAGAGTTAATAATTACGTAGGTATTGGTTTATGGAAATTATACCTTCAAGGTGTAGATTTTGTGTGAGAGCCTCAACAATCCAAATTTAATTTAAGATTTCATAATAGATTTTCCCGCGCAAAGAATGTCTGTATCATACCTATTAAATCCAGAAACAGGGCATTTTGGGTATGGATGTACTACAGATTTTGTTTTACCATGTTTCTGTCTTTTTGTTTCAGCTCCTGGAGTTGTTCGATAGTGAGGACCCGCGGGAGAGAGATTTTCTAAAGACTGTGTTACATAGGATTTATGGAAAATTTTTGGGTCTCCGAGCTTTCATTAGAAAACAGATAAATAATATCTTTCTCAGGTAAGGGACCAGTTTAGATTTACAGATTATCATGCTGTATTTTCAGGGTTTGTCATGAGAACAATTTTCTCATCGCGAGCACGTGGATAAAATCGAGAGGCCACCACAGGTGGACTAGATAGAGATTTTATCTACATGCGAGTGATGAGAAAATTGTTTGAACGACAAACCCTGAAAATAATGTATGATAAACCATTTATCATCTATATACTACTACCTTATATATTTCTCCATTTAAAAAACTCAACTAAACACCATGTTTTTCAAATGGCTTCAAAGCTCAATGGTCAATGAATGCCTTTGCCAAAAAAACGTAAACAAATAGAAGTTTTTCGCGGAGGAATACAATGAACCTTAAAACTAAGTAGAAAAAGTTTTTTTTTTTAAATCTTATCGTCATTGGCTTTTCCATATGTACATTTACACCTGAAATGGTGTTGTTATTCTCACAATATTTTTCCGTAACTTTGTATTGATATGATTATGACGGACTATTTTCTTACGTGGATCACTTTGTGTGGACACAATTTCCGGTTTCGGACGTCATCTGCCGTGAGCAGACATTATTTTTTGAGAAAATACATTCCCAAGTGCTGGGGAATTGGAAAATCTGTTCTCAAGTTGTTTTCAACTTCTCATACTGACAACCAATGATAATGAATTTATCATGCTACCGGTAGGTGGTATAAAGTAGTATATAGATGATAAAATATCTTTCTCATGATCAGGTGTGTAAGTTTTGTGCTTCAATTTTATGATCTCAAACTTTTTAAGGTTTTGTTACTTGAACTAATTCAAATTACAATACCTCAATGTAATAGAAGCACAATACAGTGCTGGAAACCTGGACACACACAATTATGATTTATGCCTCAAGTTGAATGTGAACATAAATCTATCAAAAATGTGGGTAGTTGATGTGTTGAATGGTAATCATGTATAAATTTTGATAAGCAACAATTGATATTTCTGATATAAATGATAAAACAATTTGTGATTCTCAGTCACTTTTGACTTCCAATTTTTTCAGCATTCTAAGCTTTAGTTAGTGTGCTTATTGACCCAAAAAATGTTCAGTTTGTGTCTCATTGTAACTCTAACAGGGGCCAATTGCGTGGATGAAATCAGAGAAAACGCTTGTTCTCTTTTATGAAATATTGCATATACACAGAAAAATATAATGTTAAGACATCATTTCAAAAACAATTGACTTTTTGTGTTTGTAGGTTCATATATGAGACCGAGTCATTTAACGGAGTTGGGGAGCTGTTGGAAATTCTGGGCAGGTTTGTAGACAAGTGACTGATACAAAGAGCTGGAATGATTTGTTTCCTGTAAAATGTCATGTGCGTAAAGGATATAAGCCGAAAACTGTCTTATGTAAAATATTGGACAGTCTGAGGCGCGTAGTGCTGAAGACTGTCCAATATTTTACATAATAGACAGTTTGAGGCTTACATCCTACTTAAAACACTCTTTGTGTTAATATTGGACAGTTTCAATATCTGTTCAGTATGTGCAATCAACCACGAGGGCTATTGCTACAATAAAGGGCAGTGATGTCCTTTAGCATACTTTGCATGCCTTTGTACAAGTGCAAGCATTACAGGTGTGTGAAATATGCCCGAGTAGAATTTAGTCTAGTTTGAATAATGTCGTCCAACAGTGAAGGTGCGTTCCCAACACAGTCCATGTGCAGTACATTTTGAGCATCAGCATTAAGTATTGAAATGGATTAAATTCAAATAATGTGATTGATTTATTGAAGAAACTGATTACAGTATATTTCTAGGATTATATCTGTGAGAGAATGGAATGAAAGAATTAAACCACACAATTAAAGTGAGCAAATTCAAGATTTCAACACCACCTCCAAAATATTTTCATCAAAGATATATCACAGCTATATCTGGGATTATACATGAATATCTCAAGGGATGATACTAAAGAAATTTTGTGCACTTCAATTGTGGGGAAAACGCAAGATTTCAACTGCCTTTAACTCCAAAGTGTTATTGCCAAAATTACGAATTCAAAGGATATTACAATTAATGCTGGAAATGTGTCTCTCAGTAAAGTGTTTGGATATGTATGCATCTATATGGATGTTTCATGTAAAAAGAGTGTTCTGTGATTCAAACCTTCTTTCAAGGAAAAAATATAGTGCATGGGAAATCTGACTGGGAATATAAATACCAGATATACTTTAAGAATGTTGATATTTAAATTCTGTGTTACATTTGAAAAATATTTATTTTCACATTTATTCTATTACTATGTTTTCTGTTGTATAGCATAACTGTGCTCATTCAAAAGCATACCTTTACCTGTCCAATATGTTACCTGTAGCTGTCCAATAAGTGGTTTTGTGTAATTATTGGACAGCTACAGGCAACTTATTGGACGGCTACAGGGGATGTCTTTGAATTCTGTTGGATATAGTACGCAAATAACAATGGATGACATCACAGCTGTGTTTTAAATGTTGTGGAGGCATGGAAGTCTTGTAGTAGGATGCCAGGCTTGTGACCGAAGGGTTGTGTGTTCGAGTCACGGCACGGCACGGCACGGCACTGTGTTGTATCTTTGAGCAAGATACTTTACTCTGCTTGTTCCAGTCTACTCAGCTGTAAATGAGTATGTGGTCTAGGCAGTTCTAAAATTGTTGAATGCTAGCTGTTAGCGTCGAAAAGGCAGCTCCGGNTTGTCAGTATAATGTGACCGGGTGGGGCGTCCTGCTGGGTGTCTTCGGCAGTATGTTTCAGTGAGGTAGCACTATAAAGTCGGCATCAGTTCCGCGCTTTTACAAGAAGACAAACACGAACATATCGCAGCCTCCCAAAATACACACACATACACTACACCCATGCATCTTGCACACAGGGGAGGCCGTCCTTAAATGACCTTAGCTGTTAATAGGACGTTAAACAAAAACAAACAAACAAACAATGTATGCTCCCCAGGGAGTTGAGAAAGGTATTGGTTGGTTGCAAAGGCCCTATAACCACGGAAAATAATTTGTGAACCGCTTTGCGACGACCTACGAACTAGGTTGTGATAAAGCGGTATGTAATAACCTCGAATTATTATTATTATGTAATTTCACATTGTTACTTTTGTAAAGGATTTTCTACAATGGACACTCCGTTCAACTTTGCATAAAAACATTCATGACTATTTCGATCAGTTATAGTAGATTAGATACGAAGGTTCTTAAACTTAACAAAAGTAATAGTTAGGTCCTTTTGTGATTCTGTGCTCCAAATAGATATGGGGACAGTGTAAATGAAACCTGAAAATACAAAGTGTATACCAAATTCCACCAGACCCCTAGTTTCAGCAACTGAAGATTTAGTTGCCGTGATGTTGATATTGATATTTCACTGCTTCTACAGACTTGTTGTATTTTGTTCTTGTAGCATTATCAATGGATTTGCCTTACCTCTAAAGACGGAGCACAGACAGTTTCTGATCAAAGTGTTAATACCTCTTCACAAGGCCAAGACACTCAATCTCTACCATGCACAGGTAAACTGTCTTAAAACAGAATTGTCCTTTGTATAAGATAAGACAGAACTGTCCATTGTTAGGTCACCTGAGCTTTGCTCAAGTGGCCTATTCTAATCGCTTTTCGTCCGGCGTCGTCCGTCGTCCGTCGTCCGTCGTGCGTCGTGCGTCGTGCGTAAACTTTTACATTTTCAACTTCTTCTCAAGAACCAGTGGATGGATTTTTTTCAAACTTGGTCAGAATCATCCTTGGTAGATGAGGCTTCAAAATTGTAAAATTGGGATTCCTACCCCAACCCCTGGGGCCAGGGGGGGGTCCCAAAGGAAAAATTAATCAATATTTCAAAAATCTTCTCCTCCAGACTCCGAGGTACTACAGTGATTTTCTTTACGTGGAAAGAAAGATCATCAGGGGCTTTATTTAAATTGAAAATATCAGGAACCTGAGCTATCCATACTCCCTTAGGGAGGGGGTAACGTTTAATATAGTTTATATAGGGAAATAACACTTTTGGGTATATCTTGACAACTTTCTGTAAGAAATTATTTTTACTTGGTGAGAATTATCCTTGGAGGTAGATGGTTTCAAATTGTAAAATTGAGATTCCTATCCCGACCCCTGGGGCCAGGGAGGGGCCCCAAAGGGAAAATTAACCAATATTTCAAAAATCTTCTTCTTCGGACTCAGAGGTACTACATTCATTTTCTCTATGTGGAAAGAAAGATCATCAGAGGCTTTACTTAAATTGTAAATTTCAGGACCCCCGAGCTAACCGTTCTCCCTTAGGGAGGGGGTAACGTTTGATATAGTTTATATAGGGAAATAACACTTTTGGGTATATTTTGACAACTTTCGGTAGGAAATTATTTTTACTTGGTGAGAATTATCCTTGGAGGTAGATGGTTTCAAATTGTAAAATTTAGATTCCTACCCCGACCCCTGGGGCCAGGGCGGGGCCCCAAAGGGAAAATTGACCAATATTTCAAAAATCTTCTTCTTCAGACTCAGAGGTACTTCACTCATTTTCTCTATGTGGAAAGAAAGATCATCAGAGGCTTTACTTAAATTGTAAATTTCAGGCCCCCCGAGCTAACCGTTCTCCCTTGGGGAGGGGGTAAAGTTTACTTAGTTTATATAGGGAAATAACACTTTTGGGTATATTTTGACAACTTTCGGTAGGAAATTATTTTTACTTGGTGAGAATTATCCTTGGAGGAAGATGGTTTCAAATTGTAAGATTGAGATTCCTACCCCGACATCTGGGGCCAGGGCGGGGCCCCAAAGGGAAAATTAATCAATATTTCAAAATCTTCTTCTTCAGACTCAGAGGTACTTCACTCATTTTCTCTATGTGGAAAGAAAGATCATCAGGGTCTTTATTTAAATTGAAAATATCAGGACCCTGAGCTATCCATACTCCCTTAGGGAGTGGGTAACGTTTGATATAGTTTATATAGGGAAATAACACTTTACGGTATATATTTTATCCATTTTCAGCAGAAAATTGCTCAAACTTAGTCAGAATCATCTTGGGTAAATGAGAGTTTTACTTTGTAAAATTAGGATTCCTGCCCCATCCCCAGGGGCTAGGGCGGGGCCCCAAAGGGGACATTTACCAATATTTTCAAATTCTTATCCATTGATGACATGACAAATATTGTATTTCACTTAGTTTACATGCTGATTTCCACATCACATCTAAACAATAAAATAAAGCTACCAGTACCTATGATATAACTCAGGTGACCGCTAAGGCCCTTGGGCCTCTAGTTTAAAACAAGACAGAATTTTCAAATGTTTATGATAGGTAGTCCATTGTTTAATGTTTTGTATGAGTGTATTGTTCATCATTTAAAATCAGGATTGTTAATTTTGAGATTCCCTTATTTAACATAGATAATATTTTCTTAATGTGAGTTGACAATTTTATTTTTTTAATTTCCAGCTTGCTTACTGTGTCGTTCAATTTTTGGAAAAGGATGCTGCATTGACTGAGGAGGTAACTATAACAGCTGGAGCACTACTAATTTTCCTGTTATATTTTTATGATTTTGTCCAGCAGATATTGAATTGTGAGGCCAGCTTTTTTATAAATTCAAACTCTATAACAGCTTAAGGTTGAAGGAGGAACTGTTGTGTCCTGGTGCATTGTTCAGTTAACATGGATAAAGTATAGTTAACTAGTTAGTTTACATAGAACAGTGGGCAATAAACAATACAAACACAACTAGATGAAAGATTATGGCTACATGAATCTAACTGCTTGTGTGAAGCCTAATCATATCTGTTTAAGTGACTTATTCATCTGTAATGTTTAAGTGACTAATTTTTCTGTAATGTTAAAGTGACTTATTCATCTGTAATGTTAAAGTGACTTATTTGTCTGAAATGATTAAGTGACTTATTCACCTGTAATGTTAAAGTGACTTATTTGTTTGTAATGTTTAAGTGACTTAATTGTGTGTAATGCTACAATGACTTATTTGTCTGTAATGTTAAAGTGACTTATTTGTCTGTAATGTTTAAGTGACTTATTTGTTTGTAATGTTTAAGTGACTAATTCATATGTAATGTTAAAGTGACTTATTTGTCTGAAATGATAAAGTGACTTATTTTTTTGTAATGTTTAAGTGACTTAATTGTGTGTAATGCTACAATGACTTATTTGTCTGTAATGTTAAAGTGACTTATTTGTTTGTAATGTTTAAGTGACTTATTTGTCTGTAATGTTTAAGTGACTTATTTGTCTGTAATGTTTAAGTGACTTATTTGTCTGTAATGTTTAAGTGACTTATTTGTCTGTAATGTTTAAGTGACTTATTTGTCTGTAATGTTTAAGTGACTTATTTGTCTGTAATGTTTAAGTGACTTATTTGTCTGTAATGTTTAAGTGACTTATTTGTCTGTAATGTTTAAGTGACTTATTTGTCTGTAATGTTTAAGTGACTTATTTGTCTGTAATGTTTAAGTGACTTATTTGTCTGTAATGTTAAAGTGACTTATTTGTCTGTAATGTTAAAGTGACTTAATTGTTTGTAATGTTTAAGTGATTTATTCTTATGTAATGTTAAAGTGACTTAATTGTGTGTAATTCTACAATGACTTATTCATCTGTAATGTTTAAGTGACTTATTGTCAGTTGTAATTAGTACAATGACAAATGTTGACTTAGATTAAAATACAGAGTGTCTTTCAAACAATAAGTTTCTTAAATTATTTAAGTTTGACCAAGGTTCACGTACAATACAAAAAAAAGTCTTTGTTTTGAATCTCAAATAACCCATGTACGATGCCGACATGGTGTTGTCGTAATTCTACCGTATGCTGCTGGTGTAAAATTGTGATCTCATGTTTACAATTGATTTTGATGCAGAATACCTGCATACTGAAATGAAATACAAAGAATATATTTATTTCTATACTTATTTCTATACTTATTTACTTATACTATATTTCAAGTAGAGTAAGAAACAAGGTTAGTTACAAAATATCTTTATTTTACAATCTTCTTCGCGGAGCCACATCACTTTGGCATTTGTCTAAGTTCACTTCTGGTTTTGAGGTCTGAAAAACGTCAGAAAATATGTATTCTGTTTATGTCATGTTTCTGTTAATATCATGTTTTTCTCTGACAAATTGGAAGTGATATTAAGCGAAATCTACTGTAATTTAAAAATTTCTTATGTTTGAGTGACTTAATAGTCTCTTATGTTTTAGTGCATTAATGGTCTCTAATGTTTAAGTGACTTAATCCTCAGATATGTTCAGGTGACTTAGTTGTCCTATGTTAAAGTAACTTATTCATCTCGGTTATGTTTTAGGTGATAAAAGGATTGTTGAAGTACTGGCCAAAGACCTGCAGCCAAAAGGAGGTAAATATCTCAAGTCAGCTGTCACATGACATTAACACCAAGTTTATAAATTGAAATATAAAAATCTGCCAATGCCTGAAATTCTCTCAAAATATATATTTAATACAAACCCTAAAATTTCAATAATAAGCCTGATTAGAAAATAGGCTGTCATTGAAAATAAGCAAGATTCTGTACAGTCAAACATATATCGATGATAAGCCTGTTTTGAAATTAAGCCGGTTTTACAGGTAATTATCACATTTCATGATCTATCATGAAACAATGTGATAAAAGGAAAAATACAACAATTTCAATTTCTTAACTTTATAATATTATATTTTTCCATGAAAATATACCACTATATGCCTTGATTAAAGGCTGGCTTTGAAAACAAACCTGGTATTCCATACTGAAGATGAAAATAGGCTGTGGTTTATTATTGAAATTTTAGAGTATTTCCTTTCAAAGCACTTTCTGTTTTCGCTACGATCAAATCTTAACTGTATAACCATACTGTTAGCTATTACGTTACACCAGAGGACCTTGCTCGTTTATCATATGATGTTCAAATCGTGCAACTCACTGAGATAGCGTCTTGCACCGATATATAGCGTCCCAATATTTAACAGTCGGCACATTCTTATAAACAAGTTACCATATGTAGCAAAAGTTTATATAAAACGGCAAACAGATTTATACTCGGGTTACCATTGTGATTTTAAGACAACCGGTAAGAATGTGATACAAAATCTGTATACATTATTAACAGTGTATGTACATTTTCTGCAATTATATGATAATAAATATAAATTTTGTGAAGTACATACCAGCAGAGGTCTAAACACCAGTTGATAAGCTAGATGTACTATGTGTGTAGTCAGGAACACTGCATTGCTACACTCAGGAGGGAAAATATTTAGGATTCTTTTAGCATGTAACATCAGGTATTGACTGTTTAAACATATCGAGTAACAGGTTAAACAAAGATATTTCTGACTGAACACATCCGATGTACAAATGGCAAACCCTTCACAAGATATCACAGCTGAACCATACAAGGCTGTTTCCAAACACTCATATCATATAACTCGCTGTCAGAGTTTAAAATTGTTTCCAACGTGTTTGACAGGTGATGTTCCTAGGGGAGATAGAAGAGATCCTTGATGTGATAGAACCTGCTCAGTTTACACGTATTTTGGATCCTTTGTTTCGACAAATCTCAAAATGTGTCTCAAGCCCTCACTTCCAGGTAGGTATTGTCTCCCTTTCTGACCCAGGTTTATCAATGACCTGGATAATAAGTGCACTAGAATGTCTGGCCTGACTTCTTGAAAATGTTGAAAATTATCCAGAACAGGTGTTTTGTGGAAATTAGATGAAAAGATGGTTTAATATGAAATCTTTGAAAATTGAAATGTTTTTAAGATCTATTTTTTTTTTTAAATTATTTGTGTACAAGAACTTTCAATAATAAGATATGTACCAGGTGAAGAAGATAAGCATCATGTTTTGTTCGTGGATGATGGAACGATGTCTATATCATGAGCTTACTGTATAACAGGAATTATGAAAAGTTCATGTAGCACAACCAAATAAGTGTTTATATGTGACGTTTCGATGACTAGTACGGTATGTACTCTGTCACCTACATCAGACAGTCATCGAATTGGGTGTACATATGCTTACAGCATAGCCGAATCAACATCGATTTGTGAACGACTCGTACACATTTTACACCGTTTTTGTACATACAATTCACTAGTCATTTTTCTGATAAAGGTGACAGGGTACATACCGTACTAGTCATCAAAATGTCACATATAAACACTTACTGGTTGTGCTACATGAACTTCTCATAATCCATCCTTACCAACCTGAAGAATTTTTTTAGAAATGTGTATAACAGGAAATTTTCATGACAGTTTAACTTTATAATCAGGGCAAGTTTATGGTTGAAGTAACTAACAGTGACAACAACTCAATATAGTAATTAAATGTGAAGAGTGAAAGCTAGGTTTGGTATCGACAAAAGACGGAAGTTTGATTTGGCGTAAGTTTCTCAGTAAGCAATATTTAGGAGAGCTTTATCAATTACTGGGTATCATGTTTCAGTGTGAACCTTATGGTTTGTACAGCTTATAAAATGACCACATATAATCTCCACGACGAGAAAGCGCTTTATTTGCATCATGTTTTGTTGTTAGGTGGCAGAGAGGGCCTTGTACTACTGGAATAATGAATACATCATGAGTCTGATAGAGGAGAGCTCCAAAGCAATCCTCCCCATCATGTTCCCAGCACTCTACAGGATATCCAAGGAGCACTGGAACCAGACCATCGTAGCCCTCGTCTACAATGTACTCAAAACCTTCATGGAAATGAATACTAAATTATTTGATGAATTAACGGCAAATTATAAAGCTGAGAGACAGAAGTAAGTGACTTGAATCATGCTAAACCCCACCACTGGATTACCTCCCCTCACTCAGATAATAAACATATATAAAGCAGAGTGATAGAAGTAAGTGACTAATCATGCTAAACCCCACCACTGGATTACCTCCCCTCTCTCAGATCATAAACCTATATAAAGCAGAGAGACAGCAGTAAGTGACTAATCATGCTAACCCCCACCACTGGATTACCTCCCCTCGCTCAGATCATAAACCTATATAAAGCAGTAAGACAGAGGTAAGTGACTAATCATGCTAAACCCAACCACTGGATTACCTCCCCTCGCTCAGATCATAAACCTATATAAAGCAGAGAGACAGAAGTAAGTGACTAGTCATGCTAAACCCCACCACTGGATTACCTCCCATCGCTCAGATAATAAACCTATATAAAGCAGTAAGACAGAAGTAAGTGACTAATCATTTTAAACCCCACCACTGGATTACCTCCCCTCGCTCAGATAATAAACCTATATAAAGCAGAGAAACAGAAGTAAGTGACTAATCATTTTAAACCCCACCACCGGATTACCTCCCCTCGCTCAGATAATAAACCTATATAAAGCAGTAAGACAGAGGTAAGTGACTAATCATTTTAAACCCCACCACTGGATTACCTCCCCATGCTCAGATAATAAACCTATATAAAGCAGAGACAGAAGTAAGTGACTAATCATGCTAAACCCCACCACTGGATTACCTCCCCTCGCTCAGATCATAAACATATAAAAAGCAGAGAGACAGAAGTAAGTGACTAATCATGCTAAACCCCACCACTGGATTACCTCCCCTCACTCAGATCATAAACATNACCTACATTTAAAACATGGCTTCCTGGTTTAATACAAAATAGCAGGGGGATTTCAAAAGGAACGAAATGATACAGAGTTTGTTTGTATTCCGCTTGTGAAACATTACATGTAATCCATTTTTGTATTAACCGGAAAAATCATGGCAAATGCTGTCTGCTTCGCTTCGCATGAGGAAAAACTCATTATTTATGTCTTTGACACAAATTTTTTCTCAAATAATCATGGATTTATGGAAAGGAATATTTATTGGACCCTTTTGACCATTTAAATGTATGTAAACACGATATACTCTTTCTTAATCCGAACTTTGAAAATGTGATCGTCAGCATCGGGAAAATCAGCTATGGGCAGTTAGAGGTTACGCGGCGCCTGTTTTTCGCCGTGTAAAACCTCTAACATTGTTGGAGTAGCTAAACCCCACCACTGGATTACCTCCCCTTGCTCGGATGAGAAACATATATAAAGCAGTAAGACGGAAGATAAGTTGCGTGCATCCTACTAGATAAGAAATTAAGGATCCTCGTACTACTGTCAAAAACTGTAACTTGGTGTTTTGGCATGACTATAGCTTTGATAAATCATTTCTGAAAAGAAAACTATACCTTGTGGGACTTTTGTGAGGAATAACAAAGATGAAATAAACAAAATATAATCAATAACAGGGCTAGACTAGGATTTGAACCCCAGACTCCAGATTGTTATACCATCACTCTAACCTACTGAATTACCTGGTCAACAGAACTGTATCCAAACGGAAGTTAAGGGGAGGTAACTGTGTATAGGAAAAACCACTGTGCAGTAGGAAAGGGATCCTTAACTGCTCATTTATACTCTATTTTGTCAATAAATTTGATGAAGGAAAAAAACTGTCAGACACACTGGTATCTGTTTGGAAGACTATTATTTTTCTAACAGCTACAGCCACTAGCCCAAATTGACCAGTTAAAATTTGATATTACTTATCTTGTTGGATACTGTTTGGTTAGTGGAAGTTGCTGTGGACTAGTAAAATATTGGAAACTACTTACCCAATCGATTAGTGGTATCAAAAATTAATTTCTAGCCCTGCATTATCTAAAAACAGTTATCTGAAAAAGTTAAGCATGATTTGCCTTGCGACTTGTGTTTTTCTTGGTTCTTGGTACGAAACATTTGTGTCTAATGGGCTCAAGGCGGTTCAATGTTACTTATGTTTGTGATAAATATATAGAGTGTTGCTTTCATGTTAACATTTGTTGTCGATGTAGTTTTGTTTGCTTTAAGTAAAAAAAAAATGTTTTCTTTTTTTGCAGAGAGAAAAAGAAGGAGAAGGATCGGGAAGAATTGTGGAAAAAATTAGAGAAGATAGAATTTGAAAGCAAACAGTTAAAGAATAAGACATAAAACATTGCCATATTAGAAGCAGTTTTTGGCCAGCAATGGGAAGGAAATTTTCTGTGCTATAATCACTCATACTGTAACACCATTTTAACATTAGCTGCATGCTGCAACAGATGGAGTTTGTCGTCGGACCACAAACTGTAGGGTGAACATACTGCCTTTGGGAGGGCCCAGTCTGTCTGATGTCCCTGTAAGGGCCCTGCCCGGCCCGGGCCCAGGGGAATGCATCTGGATGTTGGCATTTTAACACTTTTTCTTGCGCTCATGTGTAGGAGACCTGATCATCACACCAGGTCTGTTGCTTCGTGAATCTGGTGGTTTTTGTTTTCCAGGAAGATATGTCTGATACTTTGTTTATCTCCCCTGCCACTAACAGTTGTAACGCCCCTGTTCTCCTTCCCCCGGCCACTCTGCTTCAGTAGGGATAGCTGACAATGTATAATTATATCGGGGATGTTAGTTGTTGAGCTGTGTACTGTCTGACGAGCCGCAGGAGTGGCTGATGTGGCACACATCTCAAGTGTGGCCTAGGCAACGGTGGCATGTAAACCTTGGCAGCCATTAAAGTGGTATAAGTCTGGATGGTCATCTTGAGTGGTCATCTACAGACAGTTGTGACAGCTTGCAAGACTAGGTGACCGAGAGAAAAAGCTTGGGTAGGCTACCCAAATGTAGTGATGGTAAACCAACACACTCATATCAATGATGTTGATCCGATAGACCTCTTCGAGCTTAATTTAATGAAAATGTAGTTTTAAACAAACAAAAAAAAAAATATATGGTTTATCTTGGTTTTGTAACTTGTGTGAAATAGACGAGTGATGAAAAGCTGGTTCATGTGATAGATTGATTGTAGTGACTGTTTGACTTGTGAGTTTAAGAGAGAGCGTGTGTATGTTTTTATATGTCTAGTATAGCAACAAATTGTTATGTGTACCAGGGGAATATGTATATCCAGTATTCCCTTCGACAGGTTATGGGGACATTGTGTGTTTGGTACAGCCCTTGCCTGGCAACCAGATAACATGGTAAAATCTGTGTACTGGGTCATACCCACACCCGGTAACGAGGAACAGTCTATCTGGTACTCCCTGCAACAGGAAACAGTCTGTTTATCTTGTACTCCCTGCAACAGGGAACAGTCAGCGGGGCAGTCTATCTTGTACTCCCTGCACCAGGGAACAGTCTTTGTATCTGGTACTCCCTGCACCAGGGAACAGTCTGTTTATCTTGTACTCCCTGCAACAGGGAACAGTCAGCGGGGCAGTCTATCTTGTACTCCCTGCACCAGGGAACAGTCAGTGGGACAGTCTATCTTTAACTCCCTGCACCTGGGAAAAGTCTGTGTATCTGGTACTCTCTGCACCAGGGAACAGTCAGTGGGACAGTCTATCTTGTACTCCCTGCACCTGGGAAAAGTCTGTATCTGGTACTCCCTGCACCTGGGAAAAGTCTGTGTATCTGGTACTCCCTACACCTTGGAACAGTCTGTGTATCTGGTACTCCCTGTACCACGGAACAGTCGGCGGGGCAGTCTATCTTGTACTCCCTGCACCAGGGAACAGTCGGTGGGACAGTCTATCTTGTACTCCCTGCACCAGGGAAAAGTCTGTGTATCTGGTACTCCCTGCACCAGGAAACAGTCTGTGTATCTGGTACTCCCTGCACCTGGGAACAGTCTGTGTATCTGGTACTTCCTGTACCAGGGAACAGTCTGTGAGACAGTGTATCTTGTACTCCCTGCACCTGGGAAAAGACTATCTGGTACTCCCGGTACCATGGAACAGTCTGTATCTTTTACTCCCTGTACCATGGAACAGTCTGTGTATCTTGTTCTCCCTGCACCAAGGAACAGTCGGTGGGACAGTCTATCTTGTACTCCCTGTCCCAAGGTAACAGTCTGTGTATCTTGTACTCCCTGCACCAGGGAACAGTCTGTGTTTCTGGTACTTCCTGTACCAGGGAACAGTCTGTGAGACAGCGTATCTTGTACTCCCTGCACCTGGGAAAAGACTATCTGGTACTCCCGGTACCATGGAACAGTCTGTATCTTTTACTCCCTGTACCATGGAACAGTCTGTGTATCTGGTACTTCCTGTACCAGGGAACAGTCTGTGAGACAGTCTATCTTGTACTCCCTGCACCTGGGAAAAGACTATCTGGTACTCCCGGTACCATGGAACAGTCTGTATCTTTTACTCCCTGTACCATGGAACAGTCTGTGTATCTTGTCCTCCCTGCACCAAGGAACAGTCGGTGGGACAGTCTATCTTGTCCTCCCTGTACCAAGGTAACAGTCTGTGTATCTTGTACGCCCTGCACCAGGGAACAGTCTGTGTATCTTGTACTCCCTGCACCAAGGAACAGTCGGTGGGACAGGCTATCTTGTACTCCCTGTACCAAGGTAACAGTCTGTGTATCTTGTATTCCCTGCACCAGGGAACAGTCTGTGTTTCTGGTACTTCCTGTACCAGGGAACAGTCTGTGAGACAGCGTATCTTGTACTCCCTGCACCTGGGAAAAGACTATCTGGTACTCCCGGTACCATGGAACAGTCTGTATCTTTTACTCCCTGTACCATGGAACAGTCTGTGTATCTGGTACCCCCTGTCCCAAGGTAACAGTCTGTGTATCTTGTACTCCCTGCACCTGGGAAAAGACTATCTGGTACTCCCTGTACCATGGAACAGTCCGTATCTTGTACTTCCTGTACCATGGAACAGTCTGTGTATCTGGTACACCCTGTACCAAGGAAACAGTCTGTGTATCTTGTACTCCCTGTACCATGGAAGAGTCTGTGTTTCTGGTACTCCCTGCACCAGGGAACAGTCGGTGGGACAGTCTGTCTGGTACTCCCTGTACCAAGGTAACAGTCTGTGTATCTTGTACTCCCTGCACCAGGGAACAGTCGGTGGGACAGGCTATCTTGTACTCCCTGTACCAAGGTAACAGTCTGTGTATCTTGTACGCCCTGCACCAGGGAACAGTCTGTGTATCTTGTACTCCCTGCACCAGGGAACAGTCGGTGGGACAGGCTATCTTGTACTCCCTGTACCAAGGTAACAGTCTGTGTATCTTGTACTCCCTGTACCATGGAACAGTCTGTGTATCTGGTACTCCCTGTACCATGGAACAGTCTGTGTATCTTGTACTCCCTGCACCAAGGAACAGTCGGTGGGACAGTCTATCTTGTACTCCCTGTACCAAGGATCAGTCTGTGTATCTGGTACTCCCTGTACCATGGAACAGTCTGTGTATCTTGTACTCCCTGCACCAGGGAACAGTCGGTGGATCTGGTACTTCCTGTACCAGGGAACAGTCGGTGGATCTGGTACTCCCTGCACCAGGGAACAATCTGTGTATCTTGTACTCCCTGTACCAAGGAAGCAGTCGGTGGGACAGTCTATCTTGTACTCCCTGTACCAAGGTAACAGTCTGTGTATCTTGTACACCCTGCACCAGGGAACAGTCTGTGTATCTTGTACTCCCTGCACCAGTAGGTCTTTTTTTCAACCCATTATCACTAACTCCCTGCACCAGGAACAGTCTGTGTATCTGGTACTGAACACAACAGGTAAAGCTGTATTGTATGTAGGTCTTTTTTTCAACCCATTATCACTAATTGTCGGAGTAAGATTGTGTTCAGCAAATATCAATTCAGGCCAAACGTTGTATAATTGCCAGACTACAATGTAATCAGGATTGAACAGTGTTTGTTGTAGTCATATGGGTATGAATGCCATTTAAAGCTTGCATATATAGCCTGAAGCACCAAGATATGTTGCCACCTACTAGAAAGCTGTTTGATTCTCATACTGTAAACATATATTATAGCAGTTATCATATCCAGGGCTTTTCACACGAGTTGGAAAGCACTGAATTATGATAAGCACTGAATATAAATGACAATATTCCAGCATGTTACAGATACTTGAAGCACCCAATCTTGGTGTGTGTAACTTTTGTCATGGAAATGCAGACATCTGAGTGTGCTGATATTTTATATAAAGTATGTTTCAGGCAGACAATTTAAATGCTGTTGTATAATGAAAAATTATGTATTGTGATGATCATTAGTATTTAAAGATGCACAATCTGAGTTAACATTCATGTTGTCTGTGTGGTGTTTAATGCAGTAATACGACGGCAGAATGTGAGACGTGAACGATGTGAGGCTACAAGATTTGGTGATATTTTACAGTCATTCATATCAGTATAAAATCAGTTCTGGCTTCATGATGATTTGATAGACGCTTCATACGAGTTACACGGTTTCATCCTGTAACATTGAGCTGTTTCTTAATATTTATGAATTATTTATTTTTTAACATATATCTAAAGCATGGAATATATGCATAAAGTACATAGTATATTTATCGTAATCCTGTAAGAAGTTTGATTCGTGTATTGCTACGATCCGATACTGTTGGGGTATTGTTGGAGGATTCCATCATTTCTCTTTATCTATTATCAGGAATAGTGTTAGAAGAATCCATCGTTTCTGTTAATACCCAACATCACCAGGGTAGTACTAGAAAAATCTATCATTTTTACTATCCAATACATTGTTTCTACATCCAACATCCAGAGTATCCAGGATATCAATTTGCTTAATAATTTTTAATTTAGAAAAAAATAATGCCTTGAGAAATTGATCATAGTTTGGAAAACTAAGTAACGAATAACCGAGATACTATTAGTTATTTCGGGCACTAGCTTATGTAATAACAAGAGTTACTGTTATACTAATGGTATTTTTGTGCAAGAGTGTCGTCTGTACTGTGAGATGTCTCGACCCCTGTCATCACTACAAACCTATGGTATTATTGATTGTTATGTTTTGTTAACTACGAGTGTATGATAGTTTTACTATTTTATTCCTAGTGTATATATATTTATGTGCAGCATGTGGAGGGGAGGTAACTGTGTGCCTCCATCTGACCACCTGTATCTGTGGTAGCCTGCCAGGCCCGCTCCTCTCTCAGTTCATCTTTTACCTGGTGTGCATGAGCTAGGGATTTTTAAGACTGCAAGAACATTTTTGAAACCATGCATTTGTCAGTTAACTAATTCATGTGGCATGTTTTAAACTATTAAATATAAATTATATGCAATAAATTCGTTAGTGTGTGTATATATATAAATATATATATAGATGGGTAATTTTGTAGGCTACATGGCTGTGTACAAGTGTCTGAAACTACACAGGCTGTAGTGCCAACCCTGTCTTGCTGTCATATGATCTCATCAACCTTATTTTCTCCCGCTGCTATTACAATGGGTGTTGATGGTGTGTCTGATCATCCCTCTAGGTACGCTCTGTTAGGTAAGGAGGTGTGTCCCTTCATAGCCGACATCCCTCTAGGTACGCTCTGTTAGGTAAGGAGGTGTGTCCCTTCATAGCTGACCTCCCTCTAGGCACGCTGTTAGGTAAGGAGGTGTCCCTTCATAGCTTCGGGCATACCTCTTCACATGCCGAGATACGTCTGAAAGTTAACCCTTTGCTGTAGTTCAGTTATGTACGTTATGTGTATACGTGGGAAAACAGGAATATTTATGACTGCACAAATCTTTTCAAGGTAGCATACAGAAGTGGAGGTAATTGTAGGCATGTAGTTTTGAGCTGCACAAAACTTTCTGATTTGTTCCCAACCTCTAAGTGACTTTTGTAAAAACTTTATCAATGATTGTCTGAAATAACCATTTTGTTCTCGGTAATTATAAGCATATATAGAAGTTGAGGTACTGCAAAGTTTGGACACCTAAGATTGCCTGTACGCAATTATTTGCGAGTTAATAAAAATACTAGTAAAATAATCTATATGAAAGATCCTTTTTTCCCAATCAGACTTCACACTTTAGGTTATATGTATAAACTAAAGCAAAGAAAACTTTTTAAGGGGACTGATTTTCAACTTTTAAGAAGATTTACTTAATAATGATTTCTTTGGTAAATGTTAAGGTCAACCACACCATAGCCACTGTGTAGTTTGATTTTTAACAGTTGTTGGTCACCAGTATCTTGAGCACACTGTTTTACTCTCGCCTTGACCTTTGTTCTGTTATAGCAGTCGACCTCCAAAGTCTGTACATTAAATGCCTATTATTTTGTAATATTAAAGTATTTGCTGCTACCAATAGAAGAAATTCTGAGTTCTGTTTGTCAGAAAGATATGTCAGCAACTAGGTAGCTCAATTGGTAGAGCGTCCGCCTAGAGTGTGGGAGGTCCCGGGTTTGAATCCTGGTCTGGCCGTGCATTTCTATTTCTCTTATTACAAAATTGACCAGCTTTCCAACTCTTGTTCCAAGAACTGGATGAATGCATTGGCACAGAGATACCTCAACCTAGGTGGACAATAGTGATGGGGCGAAGACTTAAAGAAAAGAGTGAGGAATGTAGCAAAACTGGACTGGTCGGTCATTAGCAACCAGGTAACTCAATTGGTAGAGCCTCCGTCTAGAATTTGAGAGATCCTGGGTTCGTATCTCGGTCTGGCTGTGCATTTCTCTTTCTCCTGTTACAGGTAAACAAAAGGTATAGAATCTTCATATTTGGCTGATGGCTTCATGGATGGAGCTTAAAGTTTGAGAATGAAAATGACTTTGACCTACTTTCAAGGTCACAGGGGTCAAATGTGTCAAACACTTCAAACCACTTCTTCTGAAGAACTAAAAGGTATAGAATCTTTATATTTGGCTGATTGGTTCCTGGGATGGAGCCCAACAAAGATTGAGAACGAAAATTAGTTTGACCTACCTTCAAGGTCACAGGGGTCAAATATGTCAAAAGCTTCAAATGACTTCTTCTGAAGAACTGAAAGGTATAGAATCTTTATATTTGGCTTGTAGCTTCCTAGGAAAGAGCCCAACAAAGTTTGCGAATGAAAGTGACCTTGACCTACTTTCAAGGTCACAGAGGTCAAATATGTCAAAAACTTTAAACGACTTCTTCTGAAGAACTAAAAGGTATAGAATCGTTATATTTGGCTGATTGGTTCCTGGGATGGAGCCCAACAAAGTTTGAGAACGAAAATTAGTTTGACCTACTTTCAAGGTCACAGAGGTCAACAACATTTTAATGGATTTGTTCTTAAGAACTGAAAGGAATGGATTCATAAGATTTGGCTGGTAGCTTTTGAAATAGAGATTACCAATTTGAGAAGGAAAATGACATTAACCTACTTACAAGGTCACAGGGAAAAATATGTCAAGCAACTTCTGAAGAATCAAAAAGCGTAGATTCTTGTCATAATATTTGCTGGTAGTTTCAACAGATTGAGCCAACAAAGTTTGCGAGGGAAATATTTTTAGTGCAATATAATATTTAATGAAAATATTTTGCTATGACTGCTTAAATATTCAGGTGAGCGATACAGGCCTTGTTGGGCCTCTTGTATTCAAGGTCACAGGGGTCAAATATGTTAAAAACCTTGAAACAACTTCTTCTCAATAACCAAAAGGCCTAGGATGATGCTATTTGGCCAGTAGCATGCTGTGATGAAAGGCTACCAATTTTGTTCAAATGAATGACCTTCGTCCATTTTCAGGGTCACAGGGGTCAATTGTCTTACAAATCTTTATACAACTTCTTAATAACTAAGAGGCCTAGGCTAATGATATTTGGCCAGTAACATGCTAGAATGAAGGGCTACCAAGTTTGTTCAAATGAATGACCTTTACTTATATTCAAGGTCACAGGGGTCAAATATGTTAAACACCTTTAAACAACTTCTTCTCAATAGGATGATGCTATTTGGCCAGTAGCATGCTGTGATGAAGGGCTACCAAGTCTGTTCAAATGAATGACCTTGACTTATAATCAAGGTCACAGGGGTCAAATATGTTAAAAACCTTTGAACAACTTCTGAATAACTAAGAGGCATAGGGTTAAGGTATTTCGCCATTAGCATGCTGTTATTAAGGGCTACCAAGTTTGTTCAAATGAATGACCTTGACTTATAATCAAGGTCACAGGGGGCAATTGTCTTAACAAATCTTTAAACAACTTCTTCTGAACAAAGAGACAAAGGCTAATGATATTTGGCCAGTTACATGCCAGGATGAAGGCCTACCAAGTTTGTTCAAATCAATGACCTTTGTCCATTTTCAAGGTCACAGGGGTCAATTGGCTTAACAAATCTTTAAACAACAACTTCTAAATAACTAAGAAGCCTAGGATAACGATATTTGGCCAGTAGCATGATGTTATTAAGGGCTACCAAATTTGTTCAAATGAATGCCCTTTGTCCATTTTCAAGGTCACAGGGGTCAATTGTCTTAACAAATCTTTAAACAACAACTTCTAAATAACTAAGAAGCCTAGGATAATGATATTTGGCCAGTTACATACCAGGATGAAGGGCTACCAAGTTTGTTCAAATGAATGACCTTTACTTATTTTCAAGGTCACAGGGGTCAAATATGTTTAAAACAACTTCTTTTGAATAACTAAGAGGCATAGGGTTACGATATTTGGCCAGTAGCATGTTGTTATTAAGGGCTACCAAGTTTGTTCAAATGAATGACCTTTGTCCATTTTCAAGGTCACAGGGGTCAATTGTCTTAACAAATCCTTAAACAACAACTTTTAAATAACTAAGAAGCCTAGGATAATGATATTTGGCCAGTTACATGCAAGGATGAAGGCCTACCAAGTTTATTCAAATGAATGACCTTTACATATATTCAAGGTCACAGGGGCCGATGATATTTGGTCATTAACAGGCTGGGATGAAGGGCTACCAATTTTGTCAAAATGAATGACCTTCGCCCATATTCAAGGTCACAGTGGTCAATATATGTTTAAATCTTTAAATGACTTGTTCTGTATAACCAATAGATCCAGGGTTATGATATTTTGCCAAAAGCATGCTTGGTTGGAAGACTTTAAACTCTGTTCAACCTAATGTCCTTTTTCTACATTCAAGGTCACAGGCGTCATATGTTTAAATCTTTTAATAGGCTCTTATGAGTCAAACACTGATATTCTTCCTGTAGCTGCATTTTAGTCCACTTTAAAGATTACAAGTGTGAGATTAATACCAGGTGAGCAATTCAGGCCCATTGGGTTCTTGTTAAAATAGCATACTATAAATTTATACAGCTTCTTCTGAACAACAAAGAGGCCNGTATCATTATCCTAGGCCTCTTTAAGTTATTCAGAAGTTGTTTAAAGATTTTTTAAGACAATTGACCCCCTGTGACCTTGAAAATAGGTGAAGGTAGGCCTTCATTCCAGCATGCTACTGGCCAAATATATTAACCCTGGGAATTTTGGTTATTCAGAAGAAGTTGTTTAAAGTTTTTAACATATTTGACCCCTGTGACCTTGAAAATAGATGGTCATTTATTTGAACAAACTTGGTAGCCCTTCATCCCAGTTTGCTTCTGGCCAAATATCATCATCCTAGGCCTTTCGGTTATTAAGAAGAAGTCGTTTAAAGTAAAATATTGACGCCGGACGGATGGACGCCACACCACGGCATAAGCTCACTTGGCACTTTGTGCCAGGTGAGCTAAAAAGCTTGGCAGAGAATGGTTCCGTTATCGCAGAGATTAAAATTATACATTCTATTACCAAAAACATACAAGTAGTCAAATAAATTCTCCTGTTTATTGAATTGAATCATTCGCACTTATTAGTCTGTTCCACATCAGACTTGTTACTAACATACAACATCATTTAATATTAGTTCTAAAAGTTGCAAGAGTGAAGAACGCCTAGACCCTGCTTTCAAGTTTGGAAACTGCTTAGACCATGTCCATGCTGAATTGCTGATCATTGTGACGGCTGTATTAGCTGTTTATATACACATAAATCCAGCTGACTGTTTATAAACAAGCTTCTGGTATAATTTCATGCCATGAAGATGTTCAAAGTGGTTCAATTGTCTCTTAAATAATGCTATAGACAAAATTATGTGGCCATTTGATGTATGAAGTGAAACGTTTTAAAACAAAATATTAATGTCTTGTTCATCTTCATTAAACAAAATATGCGAAGTTAACATAAACAAGATAAAAATTGGACTGAAAATTCTAGCTCGGAGATCATTGTTGTTTCTCAACCACAATTATTACCAAGTGAATAAAATAGGTTATGTCCCTTTAGTTACAAATGTATAAATGTGGACTTTAAATCCTTGGTTGTGAAACTATCACAACCTTCTGTGAGTTGTAAACATACAAAGGTGATGATTTCCTGAACCACTTTACAAACTGTTCACTTAAATGATAAATAAGCAACAAGACAATTTTTCAATTACTAAGCAAGACATTTCTCCTACCTTCCTATGCAAGTTCAAACAATTTGTCGAGAACAAGATCCTGAAAGTGTGACACAATTTGCCATCTATTGAACCAGATATCTTTGATACAAAGTACACAACGCAGAATTTTTAATCAATGTTTTACAGCTTGGCAATTAAAATCGTCCGAATTTTGGATACTGTTGTTCATAAAGCTTGACAATCAATAGACAGAAATTCCTGCAGTTACACTCGACAGGTCTGTATCTGAGAAAAAGATTTTGACGAGGTAAAATTTCTTTTAGCTAAGCTCTTACCCATGGCTCGGTGTATCAAAGAAAAACTATTTGACAGCTGGTCTAGAAGTGGCCATCAGATAAAAAAAATAACATAACAAAACAATTGTTTTGAAAAATCCGTCCTGATGCCTCCTTGGTTAAACTCTACTTTGCAGATAGGTCATGCAAATCCAAGGGCAATGCCTCCTGAGATAATATGAAGCAAAACATGACGCATATATTGAAAAAACAAAATGTAAATCCTTTCATAATGTCCTTATTTCAATGCCTTTAACTCGGTACTAGAGTAAGTTTGCTTACTGCTGCAGGTGCCTATTTAAACTACCTGTACTCTAAGAACAAGCACATTCATCTCCCTAAAAATAAAAAGGATTTAAGAACATTGCAGTTGTGGTAAACCCAAGTGGTTTACAATTTTACATAGTAACAAGCATATAGATCTCTAAGGAACTAAAAAGAATATCAGAAGTCTGGTTTTATTACAGCACATTGTGTACGAGAACAATCTTTTCAAATTGACGTCAATTTTTCATCTTCCTTCAGCACAACTTTTTCAGCAAAGCGTTTACAATAGAACATATGTATGTATATAATTTGTCAAATCCACACTCACACCTCCATACACACTACACATGTACACCACACAACCATCCATCATATTACATAATTATGTAAGTTTTCTCACAGACTCAATAATATACCAACAATAAACACAAAGCAAACTAACTTTTTCACTAAATCACATTTTGCAACCATTTAACACTGTTACACCTTTTAAAGAGATAATTGCATTTGGTGGCCAGATACATTTGGCTTAGTGAACACATAGTAGAGAATTAAGTCATAACAAAACAAATACAATCACCATGGAAACAACAGCAGAGTAAATTATAACATGGCAACGAATACTCTAGTCCCATTTAACAAAACATAATGTCGAAACTATCATCAAGAACACAATGCTTTTGGGTGGTCAGGTGGCGCAGTGGATAACACACTCGCCGTTCACCAAGGTGGTGGCGGGGGTTCAATTCCTTGGTCTGAAGTGAACAGGTATTGGGTTCTCCGGGTACTCCGGTTTCCTCCCACACTAAGACCCCCGCACACTAGCAGCCGGGCCAACAAGAGTGATTAATATAAGTTGTAATAACTTGTTTCCTAGTAGTGGTAAAACAAAGGTTATAAGGAAATCTTTGGAGACTGTTGTCCCACACTGGAGATGTCTGCTACTGATGTATATTTGATTTTTAGGAGAAAAACAATTAGAATTGTCTGTGTAATGAAGATTGAAACGTCTGAAAAAGGTAAGGATTTAAAATCCAAAACTCGGAAGCCTCACTCTGAACATGATAATCTCTAGAGCAGTTTTAAACTTTTTAAACTGCCGGCAGTTTTAATGATAGTATCCTGTTTATCAAATCATGATGTGTACGGTACATTCAAAACTCTTAAACAAAGAGATTCAAGAGAACACATTTCTGAGTTGTCACTTCATTTTGCAAATTAAAAATGCTGTAAATGTATAAATGCTGGTACATGTAAATCTATTTTTCAGACAGTGAGCCCACGGTGAACAAATTTACTACAATGTACAACATTAGTTACGGGATGTTTATATTAACCGACGGGATAGAAATCTAGTTTGGTAAGAGTTATATCAGGCGAAGCAAGAATTAACCACGAAAATTACAACCATAAGGTGTTTTGATGTTACAACATCATAATCGATGCCTGGAGCTCATTATATTCAGTCAGTAATACCAACAAGGTACAGGATTTATCAGGTCAATAATTGGACAGGTGTTATCCAACCACATTACCAGATTTTACACAGAGGTATTATTAAGATTCAGTTAGTGTGCAATTTTTTTCAATTAAAACATTGTCAAAATAAAAAGTACATGTATTTTCAAAATAAAATATTGTCCTGCTGTAGCGTCGAGATTTCTCTATCGTGGAATGTGTCAGCAATTCAATATACGATGCCAAATTTTCATTATTGACGAGATGTAAACAACGTGGTGTATCACTATATGACCATAATGGAATTCTGTATCATTGAGTACAAACACATTATGTTATTAATGGATTAAAACAATATTGATTCCGTGCATTGTGTCGTGTTCATAAAATCTGCTCAGAGCCACTAGGGCCATTTTCTTTCTAACAGTCAAACCGGTCGGACCACAGTTGTTTGTTTATTAAATAAGGTCAGACCTAGTTATCTGTTGCTGCTTTCAGGCGAGCCTTGACAAAGCCTTGCAAGGCCTGCATAAACATTTTCAGGTCCGCCAGGATTCATACCCAAAATTATTACATTTATAAACGGACAAACCAGTTGTTCCGCATAAACGAACAGGCCCCCCAAAGAGTCAAAAACTCATGCACTTCGCATCATTACAATTAGTTGAGGGTATGTCTGGAACCAAGTATTCAACACTGTGTGATTACATTATTTCTTCAGTCAATATTAACTACTTTTCAAGTTAAAATGAGAAGCGAAACAGATGTTTAGACAAAACTCTGACATATTACTGGTACTGGCTACTTTACCGTGTTTTATATTTGCTGTCTGAACACAATCTGGGAATCCTGAAATCCCACCAGCTATTGGCAACAGTAAAAACCATGAAGAAATTGCAGGTAGTATAGTATAAGAGATGCAATGCAAAATAAAATCACAGCCAATCCGGTCCAGGTGCTTCTCTGCTAGCATTGGAACCGGCGGAGTGTTACGATCAGTATATGATATTTATCATCAATGGAAATTATGCCACATTGTCAAATATCTTGAAAGGAATTTGTTCCACCAGTGCAGATGTAAATATAAATTGTTTAGATGATAAAAAACAATATTTTCATTCCTTTAACAATGAAGACAGAGAAATCTCAGTCATAAAAGTATAAATTTTAACGTCAATATTGTTGGAATATTCTTATTCTGGACGACAGGATTTGCTCTGTTGCACAAGGGAGTGATAGACTCTATATATCACAATAACATTGTTAAGTTGGTACTTCCCTGATTTTAAAAAAAATATGGCTACTTGGACATTAGCAAAGCAGTGTTAACCCACATGAAACAGGTACGACGTGAACTAGGAAAGGTCCGACAGACACCAAACACTGATGTCACTACAGGTAAAACACAGGTACCCTGTGTCAGTTATATTAAGGCAAACAGAGTCTCACACTATCAAACGGTTATTGCACATGCAGAGTATTGTCATTAGTGATCTGAGAATATGAGAGGAAACGAAGATCTCTGCTGATGATTTATCACTTTTGGTCTTTTGTCACAAGATGGCAGCACAGGTTCAGAGTCACAAGTATCTCTTAAAGCCATTTGGACAATACACATACCCAATTTCATAGTTCACACAATGAACAACTTCACATCTAGGGTGACAGTTGGTGTTGATAATCTATCCATGATCCTGTGAACCGAGTTTGTATTCCATGAAGATCTTTGCTTTGTACAGCGATCTTTATATAATGGCAGAGTTTTGTAAAAAAAAAAAAAAAAAAAGGAGACCTTTGACATCAGCTATAAAAAAAACATTCTTGTATGTAGTCTGTGCTTTTCAGCCAGAGTACATGATCTCCTATCAATAATTCACAAATGTAGAGGCAATTAAGTAGATAATTAAGTAATTAATCTTGGTACAATCATAGCTATCCAGAATCTTCGTCATCACCATGGTAACTCAATGTGGCTCCCTGGGGCTCTGTGACTTCTGTGCTGAGATCTTCTTGATCTAAAGATCTAAAACATTCAAGACAGGAAAACATGAATCTATGGTTATACAATCGGCAATAACTCCATTAGCTGGGGGAACCTAACTCAAGGTTCAACCGATTTATTTTATTTATTTATTTTAGAAATTTTAGATTATCGGACCAGGCACCGCTATAAATTCATGGTAAACATTTGAGAGATTTTATCATAACCTTCAAGGATAGTATGATAAAAATGTTTCAATGGCCTTTGTTAAATTTTGATTTGAAACAAAATTACAAAGATTAGCAAAATAAATTCTATAACATTGAACACAGCTGAATAGAATACATAACGTATTCTAGATATTTCTAGACCAAAATATACCGTTAAGAAATTACCAGAACAGAATATACCAGATTCATTGTTACATTTTATACTAGAATAGATTGTAAATACAAGATATTAATGGATAGGTACATCTACAAGAACATAGCAAGATGAATACTAGATATTACTAGAACATAATATATAGGGATTACAAGATATTACATTTGTACTAGAATAGATTATAGATACAAGACACTACTGGATAGGTACAAGAACATAATACAATGAATACTAGAACATGATATACAAGATATTACTAGAACTGAACTTTCAGACAATGTACAAGAAAAGTCATCTCAGATTTTCTACACATCAAAAAACACAATAAAAGACGTAACATATCTATATAAGACTATGGTGTTATTTTGTACACAAGCTTTTCACTAAAATTTCACTTCGAAGCCAACCTCTTTGTTCTCTGTCCCCCCAAAAAGATCTATTTATCAACAGTATTAGAAGCTAATGGAATAAGTCTATTGAATTTCATGGCATTAGACCACACCTCTTAGTCCTAAAGCACTCTGTGTTAGCCAAGAACAAGTAGATAAGCTCTTAAGTACAATTTTTTGGAACCCATTCACAAAGTGATTACATTATAACCCCCTAAAGTATGTGGGGCTAAAATGAAGCTTGATACGACAGGATCCTTATATTACTACAGACGGATATCAACAACAACAACAACAATAGGATTGCGGGCTTTAATGGTTACCTGGCATAATACATATGCATGTATACAGAGAAGAATCTAAGTTTTTTGACATCACCCATAACCCCCCTGGAAGATCCCAATTTAAACAACTTTAACATAACCTTATCCCAGTCCCTACCTGTTAAGATGAGGTCTACAAGCTTTTGATGTATAAAGTTAGGTTTGACAGAAAGAAACATTTAAAGATAAAACAAAAATAAGTGCATACAAAACATCACACAGTTGAAATCAATACAATGATGAAAGGGAAAATGTCCTGTCCACAAGCCAGAATGAATGGATGTGCAACATCTGAGTAATAAATAAGTTATATCTGTAAGGTCAGATGGCGATATATTTCTGTCTGTGGTAATGTTTTCATTCTGTAATGGCTCTTTATATGTAGATATCAAGAACACTGAAGGGGCTGAACAATTTATATCTGTCACAAACACCACACTGTATACAGTGGGCCGGGACACTAGACCTGATTCAGTACGCAAACCTGAACTTAGCAAGTTTGGTTAACATGTGGGAAATGGCAATCAAAATTTTTTGATAAAATTTGGAAACAACATTGAACAAAAAATCCATAGCTGTATCAAGTGGGGCAGGAGATCCAATACTGGACTCCACTGTCCCAACATACATAAGTATAGCAAGTTTGATTAATGTAAGTGAAATAGCAAGGAAGTTATAATCTGGACACAATATACCAGATAAGTGATGCCCAGCAAGAAAGCCAACATAAGCTGCTCACCAGTAACTATTCTAACGCACCAAACTTCCCATTGACTATGATCAAGCTTCTTTGCAACAAAAATAACATTTATTTCACTAAAGGACTCGCACAACTAAATCAGCTAATCAGCAAGTGTTTCGTACGATTGTAATCCCTACCTAAAATTTGTTCCAGTTTAATACAGTGCCTCTGAGTAATTTAAATAGGTAAATTTTGTTGACATATTTTACACTGAATGAAATCTACAGATATTGAACTTTATAAAAATGTATAGTTTTAGTAGATTGTAAAATGTGATGGTGGATTGATATGGGGTCAAATGTCAGGGGGTGTTCCCGTCCAGCTTCACCGGTTGGGCTTGTAAACTTCCGGTTGTCAAAAGCAGACGCCTGTAGCGTCTTATATGCCACTTAACTTCGCCCTGTGAAGCCTTTGTCAGGTATGTATCCGTGGATCTAGACAGTCACTAGTGTTGAACTTCAAATAGTAACGCTATTAGTTGAAAAGCTTAGTAGTAACATATAGTAAAGAGTCCTAAACCAAGGGTGCAGAATTAATCTAAAAAGTTGAATATAAAATCAAAGCTGACATTGAAAGTGAAAAACAGTAATCCTTAAATAAATATATTTATTGTGCCGATGCCATCTTTGGTTAACAGGAGGATCACAGGTTAGCAGCCATATTTGTTATTAAATCCTCTAAGATCAGACTTTAATTTATCTGCACAATATCACTTATATATAAATCAGCCTAGGATCTTTGTTGGTGATTAAACATCACTTATATATAAATCAGCCTAGGATCTTTGTTGGTGATTAAACATCACTTATATATAAATCAGCCTAGGATCTCTGTTGGTGATTAAACATCACTTATATATAAATCAGCCTAGGATCTTTGTTGGTGATTAAACATCACTTATATATAAATCAGCCTAGGATCTCTGTTGGTGATTAAACATCACTTATATATAAATCAGCCTAGGATCTTTGTTGGTGATTAAACATCACTTATATATAAATCAGCCTAGGATCTCTGTTGGTGATTAAACATCACTTATATATAAATCAGCCTAGGATCTTTGTTGGTGATTAAACATCACTTATATATAAATCAGCCTAGGATCTCTGTTGGTGATTAAACATCACTTATATATAAATCAGCCTAGGATCTCTGTTGCTTTTGATAGCTTGTTAATGTATTTCCACTTGCAATGTCAGCATGAAATAAAGGTGAAAATGACAAAAATAAGATGATACGAAAAATTCTAAAACAATAATAAAGAAAAAAAAAGAAAGAAAAAAGAAATAAAGCATATGGCTTAGTAAATATTTACACAAATAGAAATAATATCTGATTTTAATTGGAATCGGTTACTAACTTCTTGGTGAACAACTGATATAAAGTGTTTTTAGCTTTCACAGCAAGGCAGTATTATCTAAAGGATTTTATCAAAATTTTATTGTGACAAATCATATGATAACCACAAAAAACCAAGAAGTTTAAGTTGATAACTTCCAAATCACCAAATGTAATTGAACAGTTTTTAATAAAAATTAATGATACCTTATATGGGTCCCTGGTCTCCAACCCCCGAGTCCGCACTTCAAGTTCGTCAAGTCCCGCCTACTGTCCCTTACCCACTCCCCCTCCCTCACTCCCTTAGTTCATGAACTTTCAAACCTAATGAATAGAAAATGGATTCAACATGCTACCTTACTGGGGACTCCTATCCCTGATATAAGTCGTACATATCCAAACAGATATACATCCTGTATGATACCCCTACTCCCCGACCCCCTCCCATCCCCCGCACACACTGTCCCTTTTTGATTACACAAAAGGCGCTGTAGTACTATTTAAGGTCTGCTTAACCAGTGGCAAGATAAATGGCAGAGATATAGAGGCTACATAAGACAACACGAGGACAGTAGGCGGGCGACAGGCAGGTGGGCGGGGTTACTGGGCGCGTGGGGATGACGGCTCACGAGGACTTGTGTTTGTGGAAGCCATTTTGTAACGACGACGCCTGCAAAATAAAACACATGTCATGCACTGTAAAATTCTATTTGCTAAAACTTTATGGTTTTCCCTTCAAATTTAGTTTCTTCGCAGCCTCTATATGACTATCTTTAGCTTCCACCTTCACAACTTCGCTATTGCAGCCTTTAGCTTCAAATTTTATAGTTTGTACATCACAACTAACAGCCTCTTGCTCCAGTCTCTCCATCAACAATGAACAATTCAAACTCCACAACCTATAGCTTCAACCTTCACAGTCTCAATACAACAATAAACAGCTCCTTCAAAGACTATATATGACAACCTACAGCTTCAGATTCCAGTCTCTATGGCAACCTACAGCTTCAGATTCCAGTCTCTATGACAACATACAGCTTCAAGCTCCAGTCTCTATGACAATCTACAGCTTCAAGCTCCAGTCTCTATGACAACCTACAGCTTCAAGCTCCAGTCTCTATGACAACCTACAGATTCAAACACTAGTCTCTATGACAATCTACAGCTTCAAGCTCCAGTCTCTATGCCAATCTACAGCTTCAAGCTCCAGTCTCTATGACAACCAACAGCTTCAAACACCAGTCTCTATGACAATCTACAGCTTCAAGCTCCAGTCTCTATGACAACCTACAGCTTCAAACACCAGTCTCTATGACAACCTACAGCTTCAAGCTCCAGTCTCTACAGCTTCATTTAAAGTAGTCTTTACACAACAACTAATTCTACTTCATCAAGTAGAGAAAGAGAACAGCAACTGTATCTACTTCACAAAGTAGAGAAAGTGAACAACAGATTCTACTTCACAAAGAAGAGAAAGAGAACAACAACTGATTCTTCTTCACAAAGTAGAGAAAGAGCCTAACAAACTGATTCTTCTTCACAAAGTAGAGAAAGAGAACAACAACTGATTCTTCTTCACAAAGTAGAGAAAGAGAACAACAACTGATTCTTCTTCACAAAGTAGAGAAAGAGAACAACAACTGATTCTTCTTCACAAAGTAGAGAAAGAGAACAACAACTGATTCTTCTTCACAAAGTAGAGAAAGAGAACAACAACTGATTCTTCTTCACAAAGTAGAGAAAGAGAACAACAACTGATTCTTCTTCACAAAGTAGAGAAAGAGAACAACAACTGATTCTTCTTCACAAAGTAGAGAAAGAGAACAACAACTGATTCTTCTTCACAAAGTAGAGAAAGAGAACAAC